AACGGCACTGAGTCGAACAGACCACGAACCCATAAATAGTCTCTTCGCTTTGATATCAATAACGTGAAGACAAGTGTCATCGTTGTCTGAGTCTCTCCTCGCCCAACGAAATTACCCTGGAGGGTTTCTGGCGAGCTACACGAACGCGGCATGTTGCAGAGGCAGTGCCGTATCTAGACCTCCCAACCGTAAATGTGATGTCGTACCAGCATCGATAAAAGTTTTCGTCCTTGCTGGCATTCTTCGTTTGTTTCTGTGTATTCGGCATGTCACGCGTCTGAAGTGGTCTACAGCGTCGTTCAACGCCGGTTGCAACAAAATTGAAACTATGCAAGTCCTGAGATTCAGAGGTTCAACTATGAAGTCTCTGCTAGGATTGAAAATGAAGATTGCCCTGAACACATTGCCGCTGAGGGCAAAGAAGGAGCAGCAGTTTGTGATGTTGTTTATATACTCGTGTGGTGTTCATGTTCAACTGGTTCAGCATTTCTTCGCCCCGAATGACTTCAAGTCCAGTCAACTCGGACCGAGACTGCCCCAGCAATGGCTATCAAATACGGTGTTGCCCTTTCATACACCACCCAGGGAGTCCGCCTGCAAAGCTCGTTCCGACTGATTTTGAAGTATATCAGAATGGAGGTATTCGATTTGAAGGCTTTGTCGCCTTGAGTGTTGTAAATCAACGAACTTGATACTGCTAGGTTTTGAACAAGACATGGACGTGGTCACTATTCTCATCATCCCAAAACAACACTTTCATGCCCATTATTCCTTGCCGCGGGCCATTTCAGTAACGACCAATTTCGACAGTAGTACCCTCCAACTCATGTATCAAACCGTTCTAGATGAAACTGGACGAATCCTCAATTACGTGCAAGCGCAACGTAGGTCTCTGACATCAGTGAAGACAGATCATGTATCATTAGCATGAAATATCTACCGAAAATTGAAAGGGAGCATCCTTTTGAACAGCTCCACGATCATTGCCTTCGCCGTCTCTCTGCTCCTGGTCACCGCGTCTTTATTCTCTTCAGCCCTCCGTAGCATATACAGGAGACACTCCTCCAACGACCCCCATACGGAATACTTGTATACGCCAACCTGCGGGAACGATCCGTATTTTCCAAGCCCCGCGGAGGTAGGAGTGGACTCCAACTTCTTGATTTCCGATACTAGCTTCAGCGAAACCTCGTCTGCCATCCCCATGAGCTGCGCAAACGCCAAGCTTCGCACACCTCCTTCCACGCTGGCTGCTCTCGTCTTGATCGAATCAGAGTACAAAGATAATGCTTTCCAAGCGCTATTAGAGTTATGCGTGGCTAGCATCACGTCTGCCGACCACTTTCTCTCTCCAGCTGAGGGATTGATGAGGAAACTGACGGCAGCGTCGTATGAGGCGTCTGTTGCTTTCTTTGTGTCCTGCAGAAGTGTCCTATCGGGCTCGGTGTGTAAATAAGCGCCTCGGACCATCTTGATCCCAAGGTTGAAGTCGTTCTTGGTTGAAAACTCGAGGTGGGCTTGCAGTTTCGTAAGGCCCGATTTGAGGTACCTACAGCAGATGTATCGTGTTAGTCATCTCGTGCTGTTTTCATGACTTCTTTTCATGGCGTGATAGGATACCATATCACTCACATTTGATACGTGTTGAACACAATAGACCGTCCGTTGCGATTGAACTTCGACATAATGTCCTGGTTTGATGAGTTAGTCAAGTACCGGGACGGTATCTAGGACAACTTACCAGCCCAACATGATCAATAGCAGACTGATGTTTAACATCCTCAGCGTCAATCAGGACCCTAACATCCTTCTCTTTCGCCGAGCTACAAATCTCAAACATCGCATCTCGAAAAACATCAAGCTGAGGACCAGAAACATCGACAGCCTTTTCCAAAGAAACAGTCTGCGCCGTCCTGGAAAAGTCCTCCATGACCTTCAAAGTAGGCTTCCCCGCCCCTGTGCAGCGGATGGCCAGATAGTCTCCACTCTGAAGCTTGTCGACGGTCTCCAGATTGCAAGAAACCCAGTCCCTCAACTGGGGCTCGTCGCGTGTAAGTCGGGTATCGGTAGTCGCCTGGCTCGCGGTTGCCTCGCGAGCAAACGCCAGCACGACGCCGTCGATTCCCATGCGGCGGAGGTTGTTCACGTTCGTCTCGATCTCGGCCTTGGTGGAGCCGATGCAGAAGGCATCGTAGAACGTTCTTTCGAGGAGTCGCCTTAGTAGAGGAGATGATGTGATTCGTGCGCTGTGCTTCTTGGTTGTCGTGATGAACCTCGAGAGGACTGGTGATGGTAAAGACGCGAACGCCAGCACTATGATCGATCGAATGAGGACGGGGAGGGGTAGCGTTTCGAGGACTCGCCTTGGAGGCGTTGCGGGTAGTGGATGAACGGCTTCTGGAGACGTGTGGGGAGAAGCTTTGAAAGTGGCATACGAACGTGATGGCGACGACCTCGATCGGGGATGATTCAACCTGAAGACGGTTTGCAGGCTAATCGAAGACTTATTCAGCGTGAAAAGAGCTCGCCGTTGGGCGAGAGACAACACTTCAGACATCGCGATCAATGTGCTTTGAACTCGTCGAGACAATTCATCTTGGTCTTCGTCGCACACACATTCTTCTATTCAATCAAGACCACGATTCGGATCACCACCCGTTGCGTCTACGGTCGGTCAACCGATGCTCACTATCACGAGTCTCAATCCAGCTGTCCGGAATAGGCAATAAGCTTGTGCATGGGTCCCCAGCTGGCGCTCCGATAAGGTGTGTGACGGATGGGTCGGGAGTCCCACAGTGATGCGGGGGGGCGCGAGACGAGGTTAGCTTAAGCGCCGCCCCAGGACCCACCCGGAGCCGGCATGCCGATGCCGACATGGAAACCGGAAGGCCACTCAAGACGGCAATTTTGGGCGGGGGGCCATGTTTTCTATCTATACTGTATTTTGATACTTACTAGAACATGTTCTCAACTTGAATGATGATTTCAATCGAAATACAAACATCTGCGGAGGTTTCATGTCTTCGGTGGACAGAGGTAAATTCGGCGAATTCGGGGAAGCTACCGGGTGTTCCCTCACTACAACCAGTTAGAAACCGAAAAGGCCTTAGCTAAACCGGATTTAATCTTTGGTCATCTCGATTCCTGTGGACCAGTGGGATAACACCGATTGTCCTTAAGACCCTCCGCTCCGCAGTAGCATACCCGTACGTCCGGGCTTGCTACATTGTCATGCGCCAACCCCGCGATTTGGCGTCAACGTTATCGTCAGCGGCCTTTGTAGAACCAGGTTCCGAAACCAGGAATCTGTCAGTGAGGCTTAGCCATGCACCGAAGTCGGCATTGACGATACACGATCGCTTACGCTAACCCTCCCGTCGCGAACAACACGACAGATCATGCGAGGCGAGCCACGTCTTGCATCCCGACATGTTTTGGTTGCCAATCTGTTTGAAGACTACCAAGGAGCTGCAACTTTGATTGGCAGAGTTGAAGCCGGACAGTGCTTGCTAGATTCGCCTCGTTCGATGTGCGACCAGAAATCTGACCGGTGTGTAACGTTCTGAACAGTGATAGAATGACGAAAGTAGAGAAGTAGGCGACATTTATAGACACATGAGAACCGAAAAAGAGACTATGAGAAATTTCTACTCGAGACAATCTTTCCGCTCCGTTGCAATACACAATCTAGACCATGGACAAGTCATCACCAATCGCCATCATCGGCGCCGGCGTTTTCGGCCTGTCGACCGCACTTCACCTCGTCGAGTCGGGCTACACCGACATCACCGTTTTCGAACGCGACGAGAATGTTCCGTCGCGGTTCTCCGCTGCCTTTGACCTCAACAAGATCATTCGAGCTGAATACGAGGATGATTTCTATACCAAACTAGTTCTCGTAGGAATATCCCGTCCCCGATGAACGCCGTAATTGCTAATGGCATTGAAGGAAGCCCTTGAAGGCTGGAAGACACCACTATTCGGCCCTTATTACCACCAGACCGGCTACATCGTCGCCACTTCGGGGAAAGCCCCTCAGAAAGCCGTTGAGACCATGCAAAAGTCCTTATCTTCGGTGCAATCCAAGCCCGAGTTCGCCGACGAGATAGATATCCTGCGCAACAAGGATGACTTTAAGAAGTTTGTTTGGCAGTTCTCTGGGCCTCTCAACGGCTTCAAAGGATACCACAACAGGCTCGCAGGGTATGGCCACTCAGGAAACGCCCTGAAGGGTGTATACCAGCATTGCGCCGCCAGAGGGGTCCGCTTCCTCCTCGGCGAGCGGGCGGGCAAGGTCGCCAAGCTGGTTTATGATGCTTCCGGAAGATGCACAGGCGTCCAGACCGCCGACGGTATCAAGCATGCCGCAGCGAAGACCGTTTGCGCGCTCGGCGCATATGGCGCCTCATTGATTCCAGGACTGGCCAACTTCACCGTCGCACGCTGCTGGTCTGTGGCCCACGTGCAGTTGACCGAGGAAGAGGCGGACTTCCTTCGCGGCATCCCCGTCACCAATGTCCGCGACTTGGGTTTCTTCTTCGAGCCAGACCCCGCGACTCGTCTCTTCAAGCTCTGCCCCCTAGGAGCAGGATTCACCAACACCGTCAACGGTACGTCGACGCCAACTGAGTTCCCGTCTGCGGCGGCCCAGGACTTTATTCCTCCCGAAGATGAACGCAAGCTGCGAACTCTGTTACGCGAGACTCTGCCGTGGATGGCCGACCGACCCTTCGTCGATCGCAAGTTTTGTTGGTTCTCAGATACCAAGGACTCGGAGTACTGTATCGATTTCGTCCCTGGGACGTCGAACTCCGTTGTCGTACTTGGAGGAGATTCTGGCCACGGCTTCAAGATGATGCCGGTGTTCGGTAAATGGGTCAAGCAACTCCTCGAGACCAGCAAACAAGAACTGCCACGCTGGCAGTGGCGAACACCTAAGAACAAGGACGATAACTGGGGCGACGCGGTGAGCTGGAGAGTCGGTACCGTCAGGGAGATGAAGGACTTGATAGCTGAGAATGAGGCCGCGCCGAAAGCTCGTTTGTGAGAGCTGCAGCTCTGAAATTGACTGCGCCGTGCCGCGGAGTTAAGACAAGGATAATTTCCAACCAAATTTCTGAATAATATTCTGCCAGTCGTGTTGAACTGTCGGTGCCAAGCCGTTATCCAAGTCTCGAATCTTCCAGATTGTCAACATAACTTGCGTGACTGTAGATATGTTGCTGATAGGCCACTTGCTGTCGAGCAAGTTGAATAAGTCGAGAACCGCTTTTCGATGAGCTTCCGTGCAGCTAACGCATCCTGCGATGAATAATGGCCACATGGGGAACGATCGCCGGCGTTGGTCTGCAACAATAACCTCGGAAAGGGAGTCTATGAGTGGCTGCAACAGCGTAGACATCGAAGGGAACCGAATTGGCGCGTCGTAAACCACGAGGTGCAGGTATATCAGCGCTGCGAACCTGAAGCATTCCGCGCTCTTTAGAAGATACTCATCCGTCGCAAGAAAATCTAAGTCGCGAATGTGTTTCTCTAAAGATGCCCCATTCTCAGAAGCGTTTGAGATAGACTGGATGAGCTCAACCAGCTCCATGGAACAGCCGATCTGAGGGTCGACTGTCTGCTGGGCCCCCGATGTTGCCGAAAGCCTGTGAAGAGCTTCGATGGCCTCACCGCATTCTTCCGAGGCTGGCTGTATTGAACCTCGAACATCCTGAATCTCCCCCTTATTTTCGGTAGTCTTCATTAAGATGTATCGGAATCGGAAGTACTGAAGAACGAGGGCCGCACAGTCTGGACTGACCCAATCACCATGCGTGTTCATGATGTCCATGGCTCCCTGAAGATGCCTCAACCACGATGGCTGAGAACCTTCGGCGATCTCCAACGAAGCCTGCAGCACGCAAGTCAAAACGTTTTCTTCCGTGTCCAAGACCACGTTCAGGTTCGATTGGAGTTGGCTCAAAGCCTTGACCTTGTAATGGATTGATGCGTTCTCGTAATCAACTCCATCGTGAAGGCCTCTGCGGCTCCATTCGGCGGCGGTCAGGGCAAGAACTGTTGAGAATAGAGGGCCATTGTTGCTGAGAAGAACTGGCATGACGGAAGTCCTGAAGACATTTCTTTCTGTATCCACATAGACTTTGCTGTTACAAATGACTTCAAAGTCTTGCAAACTGTTAGAATGGGTCTCGGGTGGCAAGCTAAGAAGGGAAAGAGGAAAGCAACTTACAGTACTGAATCATCTGTGACTCTATTTCCGTCATTGGCCAGTAACCAGGATTGCGTCTAAGGGATAGATGGTCTTGTGATGGCGGGAAGCGAAGGCTTTTATCAAACAACGAAAATCGAGCTTGTACGTCATTTTGGACATACTGCGGGCATAAAAGAGCAATATCATCGCTCAGTATGTTGACAAAAGAATGGTCGACTCTCGACTCCAGGCGTAGAAGGAAGTGTTTGTCGGCCACAATGGTGGAATATTTGGATGGTGATGGTTTGTTGGGATCGATATACACGCAGGCGATGCTGTGTTTCCGGCAATGGCCACAGCTCGGCTTCCCTCTGTCACATCCTCGTTTCCGGCGTCGACATTCCCTACACCCATCTCGACTTCTAGATCCGTTGCCAGCCATGATGTTGGTGCAGGTGGGTTTGGCGAGTGGGGTTCGTCAGATGGTGTTCAAAGCTCGTCGGAGACGGAGTCCTCATCCGATGAACCAATATGCTGGTGGCGTTTGTTGGAAAAAGCTGTTCATGTTGGTGGTCGGTGGCGAGGAGTGGTTCACGGTAAAGGATGTCTCCTCCCTCCGGCAGCTTGCAGGACACCCCGGTCTGTTAGGGGCCGTTCAAGATAAGACCCTCAGACGGCTCGGCGAAGTAAGAAAACGCGGGGGGATAACCAGTCTTGGTACGTATTAGGTAATCTGACTTTTCCAGCAGTTCGGGAGGAAGAGCCGGTGACAGGGATCTGTTGTCGTCTTTTTACCCCGACGCTAAGAGCGGTTGTTTCCTCATTCCTCCCCTGATCATCAGGACCGTCACTACACACCGAAGCCTTCGAACTGACAACGAAATAGAGAATGAAACATTGAGAAACCATCGGGCTGTCAATCTTGCAGAAATGCGGTGAAAGTAGGGTCATCGGACCCGCTAGGGCCGGGATTCCTGGGCCAGTTAGGTCGTATTCGCCGAGTGAGAGAGTTCCCGAAAGCGAAGACGGTCTTCTGTCATAAAGGTGAGGGGCGAACTTTGAATCATGCGACGAACACCATGTCTGTAATCATTCTTGAGGCACGGAGTCCACAGGTTCGTCTCTCAGAATGACTGATGCCAACATCGAGGCGGAAGAAACGCTTGAGCCGGATGTGATCGTGCGTAGTCGCTCGCACCCGCGACATCGGAGTTGCAGGGTACTGACTCGGATATGACGGAGAAACGCTGACTCTCAGACTAGGGCGACACGGATTCGACTCTTGGCCAGGTGAGTGACCCTTCATGTTTCTATACTCAGCTCATCTATACTCATGAGATATTGAAGGACGACTTTTCTGCGACGACTAGTCTCAGAAGCTCGATCATAGACTACAGAGTCGAGAATGGCAGGACATATCACCGATACAAGGAAGGAAGTGAGTATTAACTTGAGTTCGCGGTCGTCTTGTCACTTGTCTGAGGGTGTTGCCGCCAATGATCGCCGGACCCTGTGTACTTACATGTCTTGGTAGAGTACTTTGGACCAAACGATGAGGATGAGTCAAATAGACTTGATCTTCAACATCATTTGTTTCTCCTCACTTTCGACAACAAACTAGGATTTGCTCCTCCCAATGACCCGGAATGGCAATGTGGTCGTGTGCTCGATGTCGGCACAGGTACAGGCATTTGGTCCATTGACTTCGGGGATGAACACCCAGACGCCGAGGTGCTCGGTTTCGACCTTTCAGCAACACAACCGGAGTTGTGAGTGCACTTGTTGTCACGAATCGTGAGAAATAAGTACACTAATACATTCGGAAGCGTACCGCCAAACGTTCGTTTTGAAGTCGATGATCTGGATAACGAATGGATCTACTCCAAGCCATTCGACTACATTCACGTTCGTGGCATGTCAGGAAGTGTTCGTAACTGGCCCGAGCTTCTCAAAAAGTGCTACGAGTAGGTGCTCAAACCTCTCCAATGAGCCAACTTCTCACCAATGGATAGCAATCTGAAGCCAGGAGGCTACGTCGAGCTTCAAGAAGCAGAATCTAACATCCTCAGTGCTGACGGCACGTGTGAAAGCGGCGCTTTTTACAAGTCTCTTTCCTACGTTGCCTCCGCTCTAGAGGTCTTCGGTTGTCCGTTCATTCCATTAGACGATCTTGCAGCTCTTCTGCCTAAAGCCGGCTTCGTCGAAGTTTCCGATCGCCGCTTCGTGTGGCCGCTCAACGCGTGGCCGCGTGATCCGCACCTGAAGGAGCTAGGTTCTTGGACCCGTGAGAATCTGGCATGTAATACTGCGGGTATGATCATGGCACCTATGACGCGCGTGCATGGGTGGAGGCAGGAGGAAGTTCAGGTTTTCGCGGCTGAGGTTCGAAAAGACCTTGGTGATCGAGGGAATCACGGATATTGGCCCATGTAAGTTTTGATCCTATACGCAATCGTCCAAGATTTGAACGCTGACAATTCACCAGTCGGGCTATCTGGGCCAAGAAACCTGCAGAATGAAGACGACAGTGCGGTGAAACTTCAGAAAAGGTTGTGCTGTGCTAAGAAATTCGACCAGGCGGCGTCATCGTAGAATCTGGTATTTTCCTCTCAAATCTTCGACTTTAGAATTTGAAGAAGGGAAACAAGCAATCATCGCTATCATTGGCCACCTCAAAATCCTCAGCTCCGTGCCCGCTCCGGGTCCGAGGCCGGATGGACATGTGGGTCCCGAAACGGACATCGGCGGCGCTTCAGCGAGAAGTGGAGAGTAAGGTAACCCTAAAATTCACGACGTTACAGGTGCTTGCTTCAATCTGTAATTAGCCCATGCTAGGTATTTGGAGAGGCCAGATTAACAAGGTGCAAGAAACATAAAGGCACGCAGTTCAACACTGTGCTCAACTTTCTTTTCCGAGCGGCATGCGGATGAGATGAACGCCGGGCCTTTTTCAGCCGATACTCCCTTCGAATCGAAAGTCAGAATCTGTACAAGAATACTTTCCAGTGTCCCCTTGCTGCCCAAGACCCACCTCAGCTGCCTTCCCCCGCAAACGCGCAACTTGCCATTTCACCAACTCCACTGCGTTGCCGTTGACCACACCCACACGCGTGTAGAGAACTGAGGGATTGCAAGAATGGACGACTTCGCCGCCATGGCTCAGGCCATGGGAATTGGAGGCCCAGGTGGGCTGCCAATGCCTAATCCCATTGAGCCTGAAGAAGTCCGTGAGAAGGCCACCCCGATGGCGGAAGAACTCTTCAAAGACTGGGAAACCCTTCAAAAGATCGTGGAGAGACATGAGGCGACAATCCAAAGGCGCTGGATGAAAAAGTCCAAGCCGAAACGCCGAGAGATTCTCCTTGCTGTCTGGCCCGGGATGTCCGAGCTGCATAGACCTGACCTCGCAGCGTTCAGAAAGAAGAGGACCGGCGAGGCAGCCCGCGCTGCTTGCATGTGGCCAAATATCAACTTGGAGGATCTCAGCAAGACGGAGCCTCTTCTCCTGATGATCAACGCTCGCGGTCGGAATCCGCCCGACGCGTTCGCCATCGTCGACCTCGATGAGACCAGATTCGGGCAGGTCAGCAGGACAATCGATATGCCTCGCTTTCTGAATCTCTATTCAATGATGTTTCTCGGACGGACCACCCCTCAAACCTACGGCGAGCTTGTTTCCTGGGACGACGAGCCTCGCGGCAGCGAGTGGAACATCAAGCGGACCACAGTGCATCCAGGAGAAGGTTTGTGGATACTGGAAATCCAGTCCAAGCTGTACCGATTCCTTGTGGACGTCACGGAGAACATACTGCATGACATTCCTGTCGAAGAGCTCACGGGCCCGGACGTGGCTATTCAGCCTGAGCCGCCTCTGGTGACCGGTAACCCTGAGGATTCCTATTCCGCATCCCTGGCAGTCACCGCGCTCGAAGGTCCTTACCGCTTACCCGCCAAACTCGACCTGTCTCGTCTCCAGAGCATCGTCAAGTCGAAGCTTTCTGAAGCCGAAGATCATGTCTGGGCTCTCCGAGAAGACCCTGGGTATTTCAGCTCGACTTTGAAAGAGTGGAAGCAGCATCGCCAGGAAATGCTGCTGGACACTGAAGGCAAACCTCACCCGATACACGCTCGCAACCCAGATGTGTTTTGGCAGCGACTCATTGGCAACACCATAGCCAGCGCCATATTCCCCGTGGAAATTTGGGCCTCGCTGCAGGACAAGCTCTCTCGCGTCGCCGACCTGAGGGACAGGAAATACCGCGGCAAGAAGTTTGAGAACGACGAAGATCTGCCCAAAGACTACATGATGGCATTGCTTCAACTCAAGCACCATCTCCAGATGTTTCGGCCGGGGCCGATCTCGAGTCTGAAGATGGGTTGGGTTGCGTCGCCACCAATGCGTCCTTACTGGCGTCGCGTGCCGCCACCAAACGCGACCACGTCCAAAATCGAAACAACTTCTCTGGGCAACTACAGCGACAATGAGACGGTGACGGAGCTGATGTGGATCATCAAGAGTCTCTTCGACGACCAGCAGCTGTTTTTGGCTGGTCTACCCACCTTGTTGGACGAGTTGGATCGGGTGATGAGGAAGGACACGGCTGCTTCCCAGATGGTGAGTGGCTGGGTTGCCGGACAAATATCCGATCTCTCTGTTTTGTCCGAATGTGAAAGACAGCTCGACCTCTTTCAGCCATGGGCGGCGACGTTCGAGACGGAGATGGTTTCCTTCAAGGAAGAACTCGAGAGGGATTTCCACGAAACGATCAGGCGCCTGGTGCCCATCAACGATCTCACCGTCAGCTTAAACATGGCTAGACTCGGTCGTCCTGATGCGGACAAGTTCAAATATCCGGTGGAGAAGAAGAGAAACAGGGATAACGTCGAGGCCATGCGTAATGCCGAAGAGATCCTCGATGTCGTATGGTCAAACATCACGAGAGACTTGGAAAAGAGGGATGGCGTATCTTCTCGTATTCGCAATCTCCTCCACCGCAACATCGAACGCACCCCTGAATGGGTCGAACCGGTCAAAGAAAAGGCACTGCCGGCGTCTACAGATGCCAGTTTGGCCGCACCGTTCGGTGGACCGGCGATGCAGGATGCGCCAAAAGAAAAGCCAGCGACTCAGCCCAAGGCGAAGAAGAAGACGAAAGGGGCGGCCCAGACGGTTGCCGAGACACCCGCTCTCCAAAATGGGGAAGAACCAAAGGCTGAGAAGAAGGCTCTTTTCAAGGTCAACAAGCGTGCCCTCAAAGTGTTCAACACGCTGTTTTTCAACCCATCGACGTCGTCTTCTCCCGGCGAGATCGCCTGGACTGAGTTCCTCCACGCTATGCAGAGCATCGGCTTCCATATGGAGAAGCTGTACGGATCAGCTTGGAAGTTCACACCAACGAAGGTGGATGTCGAGAGCAGTATCCAGTTCCACGAGCCTCATCCCAGCTCCAAGCTGCCGTTCGTGTGGGCAAGGAGGATGGGCCGACGTCTGAATAGGGAATATGGATGGGACGGTGATATTTTTGCTCCCTTGTAACTTCCGTTGGTGTCGAATCGAGATACTTCTATGCTCTTGTAGCTTGGCATCAGATTTCTGTAGTCATGCAAGCTCGATTCTCTCTGGCACCAATCCCAGGAAGATGCAAATTTGATCGCGTCTGCATTCACTTCGTTTGAACCTTCTTACTCAAATAGGAATCGACATGTTGGCAAGAGATGCAAATCAGTGTTGCCGAATGAGGGCTTCTTCAAGCGCAGAAGAGAAACAGACTTCAGGATTGAATACCTACCTAGGTACTTAGGTCGTAGGAAAGGGATGTCTGTTATGCGGGGCATCACGGGCACTTTCTCAAAGGAGGTGGAAGCGCTTTCCAAGCTTGCAGATCAATGAGGAGTTCATGCAAAAGTAAGGTACGTACGATTGTTCTGCCCATCTCAACTTCCACCCCATCTGAAGTCGCTTACCTCTTTCCAACTTATTACCTGTCAAGAGGATGCTGCCTACTCAATTCTCTCATTCCGCAGCTCTTTGAAAGCGTCCCTCGTCCAGAACTTCCCCCACTCATCAACCTGCCAACACCAACGTCCTCACCCAGCACCAAGTTCATCCTTTCTATACATTCTGATACAATTCTACCTGAAGACTTTTGTTGTCAACGAAAACAAATCTAGCAGATTCCTCTTCTTACCGCGAACATGGAGCCAGGTAAACAAAATGTTGCGAAAGCGGGGTTATGGAACCCCATTCGCATCGGAATGCGGGACATCGACGAAGAGGAATTCTACAACAACCATCCTCTCCTCAAGCGTGAAATCTACCAGCCCTTCGCACAGCCGAACCAGCAGCTACCACGTGTGTTGGTTAGTTTTACGTACAACCAACCAACATATGCGACGCGTCTGGTTGCTCCCGCAAGCAGTCCCGGAAGCAGACCCAACATCATCCGTCTTGCAAAGGCACCAATAACCCCGGGATCCTACATCACCACCTTCCATTCAGAGACAATTGGGCCTTTGGCAGCTGCCATGATAGGCTCCGAGGGCTGCCTCTTCCGGCACACCCCTGACAGAAAATCCTTCGAAGCAATTAGGGAACCGCAGGCTGTTCGAGCGGTCCAGTACGAGCTCGAGGAACACCATCTCAGCGACGAGACAGTGCAGCTTGTCCAGAACGACAAAAGATATCGTCGCAACGAAGTTCCCGTCTCTCAAAACAAAACAGGGCATGATAGTGTGTTGGTATCAGCCTACCAATGCTTTTACGTCAACGAGGCCGATAACTCGACGGAAAGTCTTGCAGATCAGCCCTGGAAGCCGTTTCATAAGATTCAACTAGAAATCTACAGAGATGCGTCTGAGGCGTCGGTAGCTTCCTCGGCTGCTTGAAGACACAGCTCATGAATAAGTCTGGAGCCAAACGGGCGTAATGAGGGCACAAACCAGGATTTCAAGGCGGCAAGAACGGTTGGGCACATTATCATTGGTGTATTTTGGACCGTAACGGGTTTGGGAGACGAAAAGAAGTAGCGACATACAGCTCATGGAATGTCAACAAGACAGCGTTTCAAAACTCATGTGATCCAAGAAAGCCCAGATGAACCAGAACGTAATCGTGTCAACATGCGTAACGACCAGAAGGCCCCTAGAACTGAGGTTTATTCACACTTGGTCTACGTGAGATGTGTGATTCGTATAGTCTGCCCCTCAAATGAGCACGACGACATTGTCGGTTGGAAGTAAGATCAATTGATCAGTAAGCATGCGAAAGGCAGTTGTCTTCATGTGCGCGACAGCTCGTGCTTGGGGCCAGGTCGTAGCAGCATCGGCTGAGAGCTTTAGAAGCTTGCCGGCGGTTTCTGGAGCGAAGGCCTGTGTGACATTCTTTGATAGTCAGATCTGAATCAGCGACTGGATTATTGAAATACTGATTGTCGGAATGATTACTGACAGTGATTCTCTCACTTGGTCCCGGAATGAGCATTATGGGGCCGGCCCGGGGAGTCGCCCCTCGGCACGTTTGCTCGGGCCGTTGACCCCGCACTCCCGGTGGTGTAGGCCGAGGCAAGCCAACAGGGGCGTTTGGGGAAGCGCCGTCGCCTAGAGATACCAGTTACCCCAAACTGTTTCTCTCGTCACACGGATTTAACTCAGTGCTGGTCCTCTCATCGCACATTAACTCAATCATCACACAACTCACTCCCTCAGCTGAGTATTCGTCAACCGTCAGATTTCTTGTCTTGTCCCAGCAATTCAATAACTGATCTACGTCATGGCATCCGAAGAGCTACCCCGCAAGCTCTGGGAGCACCCCAATCCCAAAGGAACACAGATGTACGAGTTCTTGGAATCTGTGAACATTCACTTCGGTCTTCAACTCAAGGTATCCAGTCTGTTTTTCATCACTCGCCATCGCTCCTCGATTGACTTACACAACAATAGACATTCGATGACCTTCACAATTGGTCGGTCGCCAACCGCTCCAAATTCTACGGCCATCTCTTCAACTACGCCAATCTCATCTACGAAGGCCGTCCGTCATCAGTCGTCGACGAATCACTCCCGATAGACGCCATCCCCAAGTGGTTCCCCGGCGTCCGTCTCAACTGGGCCGAGAACATCCTCTACTCCCGCGGCCCTACGGACACACCCGATCACCACGGCACGGTGGGCAAGGATGAAGACAAAGTTGCCGTCACCGAGGTCCGGGAAGGCAACCCAGGCGACGTCCGAAGCCTTACCTGGGGAGACTTCCGAAAGGATTCAGGGCGTTTAGCTGCTGCCATGAAAGCCCGCGGAGTGAAGGAGGGTGACCGTATCGTCCTGGTCGGGGCCAACTCCATCGAGACTCTGTTGGTTTTCACGGCTGCGACATGGCTGGGCGCTATCTTCAGCAGTTCATCAACGGACATGGGTGTGAAGGGAATCCTGCAGCGAACCACCCAGGTCGATCCCAAAGTGAGTATTTCCACTTACACCTTTCGCATGTCCGCTAATCTCTGCGCAGTTCATCTTCTTCGACGACGCCACGGTATATAACGGCAAAACCGTCGACCTCCGTGATAAGATGACAGAGGTCGTCTCCGGCATGAGCTCCTGCCCATCATTCGCCGGCCTCGTCTCGATCCCGCGCTTCTCGAAACCCTACGACGTCGCCTCAATCACAAAGACGGAGCTCTGGGCCGACTTCCTCAAGTCCGGCGGCTCCTCCACACCGCCTGACTTTGTCCGAATCCCGTTCCACGCTCCTTTTCTAATCTACTACTCCTCCGGCACGACCGGCATCCCAAAGGCCATCGTCCACACCGTGGGCGGCGTCATCCTCAACATCGTCAAGGAGGGCCGCCTCCACGAATCCATGTCCCCAGAGTCCGTGTGTCTGCAATACACCACGACCGGCTGGATCATGTACCTCGCCAACGTCGCGGCCCTGCTGAACGGCGCACGGGTCGTCATGTACGACGGCTCGCCCTTCGTCCCGGATCTGACATCGTTCATCCGGATCCTCGGGGAGCAGCGCGTGACGAAGCTCGGTATCAGCCCGAGGTGGATGTTCGAGGTTGCCAAGAACAAGATCAGCCCCCGCGAGGTGACGGACCTCAGCTCGCTGCAAATTGTGACGAGTACCGGCATGGTGCTTTCCAACCAGCTGTTTGAGTGGTTCTACGACGCAGGGTTCCCGAAACACGTTCACCTGGCTAACATCTCAGGAGGCACTGATATTGTAAGTCGACAGCTCACTGCCACTTTCACATACTAACGTAATCTAGGCCGGCTGCTTCGGCATGGAAAACCCCCTGACTCCAGTCTACGTAGGCGGCACCCAAGGCCCCTCCCTCGGCGTCCCCATCGAGATCTTCGACGCCCAGCTCCCCAACGGACCCGGCAAACCCGTCCCCCACGGCGAACCAGGCGAACTCGTCGCCACGGCCGCCTTCCCCAACATCCCCTGCTTCCTCTGGGGCGACTCGACCGCCCCCTCCCCGTCCGCCTCCAGCTTCGCCTCCGCGCCCCCGGGGACGAAGTACCACGCCGCCTACTTCGCCCGCTTCGACCACGTCTGGGCCCACGGCGACTTCTGCCAGGTGCACCCCAAGACGGGCAACATCGCGTTCCTGGGCCGCGCCGACGGCGTGCTGAACCCGAGCGGCATCCGCTTCGGCAGCGCCGAGATCTATGCCGTCATCGAGCGCAACTTCTCGGGCAAGGTGGTCGACAGCCTCTGCGTGGGCCAGCGGAGGCCCGACGACGACGACGAGAGCGTCATGCTCTTCCTGATGATGCGGCCCGGGGAGAGGTTCGATAAGAAGCTGGTGGGCGAGGTCAGGGATGCGATTCGCAAGGAGTTGACGAAGAGGCATGTGCCCAAGTACGTCTTCGAGACGCCGGAGATCCCAGTAAGTTGGCAACTGCTTCTTTTCCTCTGATGCGAAATGCTGACGCGACGGCCTAGACGACGGTGAACTTGAAGAAGGTGGAGTTGCCAGTGAAACAGATCGTTTCGGGGCAGCACATCAAGCCCAGCGGCACCCTCCTCAACCCGCAAAGTCTAGACTTTTACTACCAGTTCGCCAAGGTCGAGGAGGTGCTCGCCGGGAAGGAGAAGTTGTAAGACGTGTCGTGATGTAGACAGAAGAGATAGGGTATTTGTAGACTAGAGGGCCACAGAACTAGACCTCCATAAACAGACATGATTTCCTCATCCTCCACTCGACCTCGGGCATCGCCTTTTCATACCCTCCCCAGATCGACCTCAACCTTCTCACTAGCGACGTATTCCGGGAACTTCCCAGCGTGCACACCGTACCTCCATCCCATATACCCAACAGTCCCGACCACGCTCCCCAACCCAGCCGCTCCAGCAACACCCCTCCATCCCAAACCCCCGCGTCGCACTCTCGCCGCAAGAAGCCCCGCCGCCGCACCGCCGTAGGTCCAGTCGTCCGTCTCCAGCTGGCCCGGGTTCTCGAGCAACCGCCACGCGCGATCGCGCCACTCGATGTCCTCGCGCCCTTGCATCCGTCCCGCGAGGGCGAGACCCATGAGGCCCAGGCCGACGGCGCTCGCGGTGCCCGTGGTACGGAGGAGGCTTACGGCGGATGACGACGTTGTGGGGGCCTTGGCGGCGGTGCCGCGGAGGCGGGTGAAGATGGATCTGACGGGGATGGCGCCGAGACCCACCACGGCGCCGGTGGTGTAGCCCCGGGTGAGGACGTGGATCCCGAGAATCGTGCGGGAGAGGGGTTGGTCTTCTGCGTAGGCCGTGTGTGGGAAGTAGCGGGACATGATTGCGACAGTAGTAGAAGCGTTCTTCGTAAGCTGCAGGAATTGGCGAGTGGTGGAAACAGACAAATGGGAGAGCCTTGGGCTAAGCTTTGTGAGATAAGCAGAATGATAAATGTCGGGGACTTCTTTAGCTTCTACTGCTTCAAGGATCCGGCGGGCTGTCATCCTTTAAATTATTCCTGTCATACTGCCCTGGGACTAACCAGCTGGCGCGATCCAGTCCGTTGGGGCAGTCGGGGATTCAAGACACCAATTCCCCCGAGCATGTCAGCGCGGCTGGTTAATCTGGCCAGCTCTGTCCAACCCCGGACGGAAGATCGACGCTAGCGCTCCGAATGCGAGCAGGGCGTTCACCCGACGAGTCGGATTAGTTGGATTAATCAGTTTAGCGAGAAGAAATGCGACTAGCACTCGCGTGGGCTGACAGCTATCCCTAGGTCAGTGAAGTACATTAGCTCACACGTGTTGGATCGCGATGCTCTCATGCTTAGTCGTTATTAATCTGTACCTGTACTGACATTTCTCAGTCCTTCTGAGATGGTATGCGTTGAATGCTTTGAATCCATAATCCTGCCATAGACGCCGTCTATTTTCCGCGCCATCCAGATAACATTATGGTGGCTTGGAGGATGCTTAGTCGTCGTCAGTCATCTCCATCATGCTCTCGCCCTTTCCGTCATCGTCCTCCATCAGCGTGGCCCTCGCCCTGCTGACTTTTGCTTTTCCCTTTGCGTCTCCTCGCTGGCCTGCTCTCTGCGCTACCCGATCCCGAGCGGCAGCCTTCCCGATATCAAGTTCGTTCTCGAACGCGTCTAAGTCATCTCCATCGAATACGTCGATGACGGACGTCTCTTCCAGAGCCTTGTTAAGCAATTCCGTAGCGATTCCGTCTTGCGGGTTCATGGCTAGAGCCTCATGTAGTGGCACGATAGCCTTCTCAGGAATCCCTTGCTCGAGGTAGATGAGAGCCTTTGCGCAGAAAATGGCGGGATCCTTGCCTCCCTGACGCAGCACTTCATCAAACTCTACAAGAGCTTCTTTCCATAACCGCAAGCGGCGGTAGGCGTGCGCCAGATTTGTTCTCGGCGACAACCAAGCGTAGGGGTCCGAATCAATATCGGCTGCCGTCTTCAGTGCTGCCCGGAAGAACTGAACGGCCTCTTGCGGTTTGTCTTGATGATATTTGACGATGCCCATCTCGTTGAGAAGGAGTGGGTCTGTTTTGCATAGTCCGTATGCGGTCTTTAAGAACTCCTCTGCTAATGTCATGTTGTTGAGAGCATGGTTCTGCATGCCCAGGAAAACTTGTGGGAGGTGGGTTCCCATAAAGAGTCTCGCGGCAGTCGAGTAGGCTGAGATGGCCTGGTCATGCTCTCCTTCGGCGGCAAATGTGTGCGCGAATCCGATCCATGCGGGTCCAAAGTGTGCATCCATCATGCTGGCTTTGCTAAAGTATCGTCGAGCCTCCGCAATTCTGTCAATGGAAAAGTAGTATATGCCCACTGCCAGCCAAGAGCAAGGCTCTTCTGGGTGGGTGTCTGCCAGGTCGTGGGAGATCAAGAATAACGCATTCTTCATCTTCAGTTGGAATAAACAGGCCAGGTGCAGGGGGTGGACGCTGAAGTTGTATTTGTCGTCCTGTAGGATAGATTCAGTGATGTCGAGGGCATCTCGGAACCGACACTGTGTGAAAAGGAGGTCGGCCTTGGCGAGTAAGAGATCTGGGTTATTGGCTAGGTGGTAATGGGTTGACAAAGTATCGCATGCGGCGTTGAAGGCCGACGGCTCTCTGTACTTGGACAGGCGGGTGGTGTACAGCATTTTGGTGAAGTCTGCCGCCTCTTGTGATGATGATACATCGCCCGAGACATTGATAACGTCAAAGTCGAGGGATTCAAGAAATTGCCACTCCTCATCTGGGGAGAGCAATGAGTTTGTCATGAGCTGTTGGAAGGCCTCGAAACACTGCACGTCGATTCGTACGGCATCCTTGTAGCACTCCTTTGCCCGATCGAAGGCGTTTTGCTTGGCGTAGCAGATGCCTCGAAGGTAGCACATGGCGGCTTCGTATTTCTTGTTTGTGGACTCCTCATCCACAGCATCGTCACGAGCCAGCCTGTCTCTGGAGATACCCTTGACATGAGCCCCCACGGCCCTACCGAGAGGGGCAGTATTTTGGGCTTTCCGCTTGTTGCTCGCATTGGAGATGAGATGGGTCGGGTTTCGATCGCCGAGCACGCCCAATGCCTCCTCGAATCTTGATTGCTTGATCAGACAGTGTGCGGCTAAGTATCGACAAGAAGGGTTGCGAGCGACGAGGTCGTGCTTAGCGAGGAACGTCTGAGCGCGGGTGTAGTTGCCGTGATTAAAGTGCACTTGTGCCAACCAGAATGCATCTTTATCGTCATCTGTTGCGTACCGGTCAGAAAAGTCGTGCAAAGAGGAAGGATTTAGGTGGACGGAGGGTCTTACGGGTAAGAGCCAGCAATTTGTCGCCGATGAAGATGGCGGAGTCGTACTGGGCTTTGTTCAGGGCATCTTGCCTCCATTCCCGAAGGAACTTTTCCATGGTCGCGAATCGACGCGGGCCGAGCTGGGATCCCCGGAACGACACACGAGATGTCTAGTTCGGGGGCATGACCGAGAAATGTCGGCAACGAAGAGGGGCGGTGGGCTCGGTGAGAGCGACGTTGGACTTTGGAATGCCGATCAAGGAGACGACGGGAAACGCGAGCGGTGGTGAGGTAAGCGCGGTCTGGCGCGTCGTGGGCTGTACAGGTAGTGGCAGGCGTGACGGAATCTGGACTTTCTTTTTCTTTGGATGACGCCCTTCAATTGGAGGGGGACGTGGATGCACTGTGCGCTGTTGCTGCCCAGGGGTGTGGATCCAGTAAATGGCGGGGTAGACCAACCAGACGACGTTTTTACCAGGCACACCACGTGGTTGGAACTTGGAAGCGCTCGAGTTTCTACCTACCAGTTTGCGCTGGTGTTTCGTCTTACAGCATCGGATATTGGTCATGTCTTTTGTCGAACATGTAGTTCAATGCATCTGCTGGACGTGGAACAAGAGACATCAAGTCAGGTTTGGCAGTGTATAATCGCTTGCTTTGTCAGTTCAGCCCAGCACATCCGTAATGGACTTCTAAGGCATTCAAGGACCAGCGTGTGCTCAGACATTGACCTGCTGCCAACCTTCAGGAAGCTCGAAGTCTCACTCATTGATCAGTCAGCCATTCTCCAGCACTCTCTGCTGGATGGAGTATGGTTGCAACTCTATGTCATGACTTGACGTTGGCTCTCTGCGTCCGCCCAGCAAGGTAGCCCGGCATTTGTTTCAGGCCATGCGTCTTACAGCGTCCCCATCCGACCGTTGGACATGGCTTCTGACAGACAAGACATCGAGTTGGGGTCATCTCAAGTGCGTTGCAGACCTGCGCATCTGACACTTTGGCCGCATAATGACGAGCCGAATGGTCTGATGCGGCGCAAAGACGGTGAAGACGCAAGGGAAAAGAAGAAGAAAAAGAAGAAAACACGGTACCCGGTCGAGTCATCGAATTTGCAACGGCTAAGTAATGCCAACATCGCAAAACTGCCAGCTTCCAGCTTGTCTTAGGTAAAAAGTATGCGCATACAAGAAGGCGTCCGAAACCCTCTTATCCGATAAATGCAGGTGGCAGAAACAGTTTCCCTCCCACCGGCGCTGCCCTAGGTCCCCTACCTTCAATGGCTAGCTGTCCTGTCGCGCCCAAAGCAGTGGTTGGCGGACGGCATGGGCGTCACCAGCACCGGGCCCCAAGGACGGGACTCGCTGTGACCTCACTGCGGTGCACCGTTCCAGCTTCCATTGCCTCTTCTGATTGGTTGATATTCTCGTAGTGGAGTCATCAGGGGGGAAGGCTAACCCAAGCTAAGCGAGGTGCTATCGCTGTATCCGCCATCGACAGCAGAAGGTGACGACTAAGGTCAAGAAGGATGGGGCATCAGTGTCCGTACTCCGTATTATTTTTTTTTCTCTTCAAGCTGTTCATTGTTCTTCTCCATCAGTTGATAATTCATCGCCTCACAAACATCGCCCATACAACCTACCGACCTCACATACGCCAACACCGTCTGTAATACCCAACATATTTCATCCCGTCCCGTACAAGATACCAACACCCGATCATCACCTGCAACACGACCCCAGCCTAAACCACCGAAGCTCGTTCGTTTCTCTCCCGCTTCCTAGTACCTCGAGTGCAAACGTCCCGCGAAACTGCCCCTGCAGGCCCTCGACTCTACCGCCGCCCACCCGCCCGCCGCCGCCGCCGCCATCCCGACATCATCGCATCCCATTTTCATCCGTCTGTCCCAGCCGCCACAACTGCGACCAGATCCGTAAACCGAGGTGCTGCCGCCCTTGAAGTTTTTGAGGGATTGTAACCCACCAGAAGCATTTTCATCTAGAAAAAGTCTTCGAAAGCAGTCCCCATGGATAACAATCTATGGACCCGCCGCACAAAGTAAGTGCTAGTCGCACCGCCTCGTTTTTTTCTCTTCCTCCTCGCGATCGACGTTCGTCTGCACATTCCTTTTCTTCCGCCCCATTCGCCGCTTCTTGCGAACAGAACATACTGACGGTGCGACCCGCGTGCAGCTCAGGCAAGCTTTCCCTCTCAACACCTGGCAATGGCAGTCCCGCGCCGGGCGGTGACGCCAACCGTAACGGCTCCTTCGCCAAACGATTCGGCGGCGACTCGTCTTCACACGGCGGCAAATCGAATCCCTTCAACAACGTAACGACCCCCGGTGGCATGGCTTCTCCCACTGCCTCCAACGCCTTCGGCCTGGGCTCCGGCGCCTTCGCCTCCTTCGGATCCGCGAAGACGCCTAAATCCCCGGGTAACCCGTTCGACATGGCTATGGGCAAGGTCGGCGCCAAGCCCGTGGGTGCGCTGCATGACCCGCTGGGCAAGGCACCGTCCATGGCATCCATCGCCGAGAACGCCGCGGGGAAGAAGGTGGGCTCGCAGCCGGTCTCGACTCGGACATCATCTGAGACTCTCCGCGTTCACCCTCTCAAGTACGAGTGGGTAACGTGGTGCCGGCCGCCCCAGCCCAAGGGACAGCCGTACCAGGAGTACGCCAAGTCACTGACTCCCATGGTCCACTGTAACAGCGTGGAGGAGTTTTGGGTTGGCTATCCGCACCTCAAGCGACCATCCGAGCTGTCAGTGGGCTGGGAGTACCACTTCTTCAAGAGGGGCGTCCGGCCTATCTGGGAGGATGAGGAGAACAGAAGTGGAGGCAAGTGGGTGTTGCGCCTGAAGAAGGGCATCGTCGACAGATACTGGGAGGATACCGTGTTTGCGCTCCTCGGTGAGGCTTTCACCGACTGCAGTGATGACATCTGCGGTGGCGTGGTTAGCGTCCGCAACGGCGAGGACATTATCAGCATCTGGACGCGCTCGACCGGCGGACGCGTGCTGAGAATCCGGTGAGTCCGCTTCCGCAAGGTTGTCCACCAATGACTACTAACATCCCTCCAGTGAGACGTGGAAGGCCTACCTCAAGTGCCCTCCCAACACGAACTTCGAATTCAAGTCCCACGACGAGAGCATTCAGCACAGGGCAGCGATCGAGGAGTCGCGCCGCGAGAAGCAGCACGACAAGCGATCCAACGCCACCAAGCAGCCCAGCGACGAGCAAAAGCAGGCCACCTCCTGAGCCACCACGACGCACCTCCCAAATACCCCGAAACTTGCCCCTCCACCCTCGTCACGGGCACCATGCTGGGGGAAACGCCAGCACGACGTTCTTATCCGTTCTTGCATGTTTCTAAGCCATCTTTGATGTTGATTTGTACACTATCTGGCCCAACCCCTTGGGTCTTCATAGCATTCGGGTTCTTAAAAGTCCGACAAAAATCCACCTTGCTGGGATAGCGGAGGAGACGGACGGAAAGAGAAGGGGAGCATGACGACTGCTGTTCTTTTTTTCTTTCTTTTTCTTTTTCCACATAGCAGGCTAAAAGGGGAACGAGAAAGTGTGCTCCCCCTCCTTTCGGGATCTCGGAGACGGGATCGAGGCGATTCAGGGGAGGGGGGGGACGCGATAAAATGGGCAGCGGTCAGCGTTTAGCGGTCACGTTGTTTTATGGATTGCACACAGGGCGGTTATTTGGGGATTGGCTAACCCATCTCATCAATCTTTGGGAGGTGTACACTACTGCTGCTACCTGAGGCGCAAGCACCGGCATCGCTTGCCGGCTGCGCGGTTCCCTGGACCGGATAGTCTAAATGACTACGAAATGAACTTCACTTTGATACGTCCCATAACGTGAACCAATGCTTCAAACCTGGAGACTCGAAACGCCCTCGTGTCCCAAAATTACATATTTTTGAGCGCGTACTAAGTCTTCCGCGCTCTTCGTTTAGTCATACATGCTATTCCGTTACGCCCTGCCCTTGCCCTTTGGTGTCCGCCTCCTCTCCCAGACCTGGAGATACGTCTCTCCCAGGTACAGCAACTCGCTCTGCACCTTCTCCACGAACAGGTCCTGGCACGAAACCCACTCGTCGCGGCCCTTGTCCCGCAGCTGCACCTTCCACGTCTTGCGCTCCTCCCCGCTGTCCGCGACGTCCTCCTTGGCGCGGACGGCCTCGTGGACGACGTTGGCGACGAGGTCGTAGACGATGGGCTCGCCGGGGGGCCACTCGGCCGGGTTGGGCTCGACGTAGGGGCTGACGTCGAGGCCGTTGGGGTCGAAGGTGACGATGGTCGGGTTGCGCTCCGAGACGAACTTGTTCTGGCTGAAGCGCTTGACGTGGAAGACGAGGTAGGGCGGGAGGGGGTGGAGGAGGCGGTAGCGCTTGCGCTGGGCGAGGTGCTCCTGGGCCTGGATGCCGTCGTATTTGGAGAGGATCGTGGTCAGGGGCACCTGGGGGATGATGTTCTTTTCCAGCTCGTCCTGGAAGAGGGGCGCGGCGGGGAGGTCGAGGGTGAGGAACATGAAGCGCGTCGATGTCATCGACACCGCGGCGTCCTCGAATCGCAGGCGGTCGCCCGCATCGGCGCGGGCGGTGATGGCTTGCGACTCGACCTTGAGCTTGCCTTGGAAAATGCGCTGTACGATGGAGCTGCCCGGTTTCGTCTTGGAGCCGCCGAACCCGAGATGTAGATTATTGAGGAACCATGACAGGAATTCGACCGGATCTGATTGCGCTGTCAATGTGAAGCGCTTGTTTGAGAGCAGGGAGATTTCCTGGAGCAGCTCGTGCGGGGAGACGTGGGCTTTGAAGGCGCGTGGGTTCCAGATCTTGCGGACCAGGATGCCGAAGCGTTTCGCCAGCTCGGTTCGCGATGAGAGGTCTTCGAGGAGGCAAAAGTTGCGCAGTGGTGCGACGTGCGCTAACGCTTGCACGATGACGTTGAGGTAGTCGTTTTCCTTCAGGTTGTTCATGCCCACGAACCCAGGGGCGTACTCCTTGCCCGCCAGCGTGAACGACGCGCGCAGCGGCGTGCGGTCGAGCGCGGCGACTTCTTGCTTGCTATACCGCGGGTCTGAGACGAACTTGATATCATCGAGCGACTTCGATTTGACCTCGTAGCCCTCCGGCAGCACGTAGACCTTCTGCGTCTGCATGTTGATGAAGACGTGGTGGTTCTCGTCGAGGGCGTGAAAGTAGGCGTGGGACTTGGGCCCGCGGCCCTGGTAGTATTTGCCGCAGACAAGACATGCGTAGACGTTGATGTTGGACAGGCTGACGGAGCACAGCTTCTCGAAGTCGAAGTCGAGGACGTTGCGGTCTATCGTGTCGAGGTAGAGGTCGTCGTAGCCGTCTGTCGGCGCGGACTGGCGGATCGGGGCCTGGACGAGCGTCTCGTCTTCGATGTCGCTGTCTTCGTCATCGTCTTCTGGTTTCCTCTCCGTCTCTGCGTTTCCATTTGTTGGTGTCGTCGCTTCTTCTTGTGATGTTGTTGCGTGGCCGTTTTGGTCGATTGAGCCGTTGGATAGGAGGGAGTCGACGGTTCGGGAGCGTTTCGAAGCGGGCGAGTCGATGCCTGCGATCTCATCGAGAGGGTCCTCTGCGTGGCGCTTGCGGTGTGCCATCCTATGTTTTGTTTTCGTTTCGATCGAGCTTCAAAAGCGAGGTTCTGAAGTGGTGTGTACAAGTCACTGGAGGCGCGAATGGAAAACCGATGCGCGGTCATTGCCGTTGGCCTCGAAAAAAGTCGCCAGTCTCTGGGGTGATAGGCAAGCGCCCCACTCTTATAGCCACGCCCAGAGCTAAGGTACATACCGTGCTAGGTGGCAGTGACATTGCACCTTCACTTCATCCACTTCAACGTCAACTCCGGTGTCTCTGTCCAAGCATCTCAGCGAGCAGGAGGCTTGTTCCATTAGAAACGACATTATGTATCCATTTGATCACGAGAACTGAGGATATTCTCGCATATGCTATTAATAAATAAGAATTCCCCAGTCAGCACTCAAGTTGACAAATAAGGCACGCCGATCATAGTACGAGCGTGGACGTCGAAAAACATGCTACGCAGTGGTTAAATGGGCATATGAATACATGATGATTCCACGAGTTCTGCCTACTGCAGCCCGTGACTACAGCTTCTTCAAGCACTGGCATGGGACGCGTTTGAGGGTCGCAGCTGGACGTTGCGTATGTTTCCCAGTTGAGGCAGTTCTGAGGGATAAGCTGATGCAAGCTACCTAGGTACGGCAGTCGCAGCCTTGCGTACAGCTGAGTGGATAGATAGGAAGGAAACCCCGCTCACTTAGCGGCTGTCTTTTGCTTCCGAAGGATTTCTCTAGAATCATCTTCAAATGCCTCACTAACGCACGAGTTAGTAGCAACAGCAACACCACTGGTCGATGACAGAGGGTTATGACGATGTCGAGACCAACTCGTCGTGACGAGTTCGGTGTGGCGATAGTATGCGCTCTTCCTCTCGAATACAATGCCGCCACTTTGGTGTTTGATGAAATCTGGGAAGGGCAAGACTTCGGCAAATCGCTTGGCGACTACAACACATACACACTGGGTCGCATAGGTCAGCATAATGTTGTATTGGCCTTACTCGAGATGGGAAAAGTCGAGGCCGCGGGCGCGACAACGAGCTTACGCCATAGCTTCACCGCCGTCAAGCTGGCTTTCTTGTGCGGCATATGCGGTGGAGTGCCAAACCCGAAGCCCAACGTTCAAGTTCTGCTGGGTGACGTAGTCATCGCCGACCGTGTTGTTGAATACGACTACGGTCGGCAGTATCCTGACGAATTCGTCAGAAACACTGCGACCGGCGGGTCGGACGTGCAAAGCAGAGAAGCCGGTTCATATTTTCGCCATTTGAAAATGGATCACCAGATTGATCGACTACACGTTCGAATCCCCAAAGCGATAGAAGCGCTCCAGCAGAAAAGTGCAGCAAACGGACGCCCGTTGAAATACATGCGTCCTGGAGATGACACAGACATCCTCTTCCAAGCGAACTACCTCCACAGGCATCAAAATCAGTCACAGTGCGTTTGTGGCGAAGGCAATATCTGCAACGAAGCGAAAACAGCATCTTGTTCCGATTTGAAGTGCGATATCAACTATCAGACAGCCAGAACACGGATCGATATCCTGCAGCAACGGAAGCTTGGCGTAGATGGGGACACTGCGACCACGGCGAAGCCAGGACCACGAGTTTTCTTTGGCAATGTAGGCTCGGGAGACACTGTGATGAAGTCAGGGCAACATCGCGACAAGGTGGCTCAAGAGCACGATATTATTGCGTTCGAGATGGAAGGTGCCGGTGTGTGGAAGGCTATTCCTTGCATCGTCGTGAAGGCAGTATGCGACTATGCCGACAGTCACAAAAACAAAGAGTGGCAGGCCTTCGCGGCCGCAGTAGCTGCTTCTGTCACGAAGCTGATCCTTGGAGAATACGTCTCCGCGATAGCGTCAGCAGCCGAGCAGGCTAGTCACCCTTCAAGGTCGGCCACTGAAAGCACAGCAGAATCTGGTCCAACCTGTCAGTCTACCTCGTTTGGCTTGCTTTCGTGTGTCTCACTAAATTTGATAGTTCTTGTGCCCTACCCTGAAAACCCAGATTTCGTTGACCGTTCGGAAGTCTTCGGCAAGCTGAGAGAGCTTTACGGCCACGCAAACAGTGACAAGAAGGCACACACAAGACTCGCGCTTTACGGCCTAGGTGGCGTTGGGTATGACTCCTGTTGGTGAGGTCCTTACGTTGTGCTGATGACTTGTAGTAAAACACAGATAGCACTGGCCTACTGTTACTGGTTTCAAGACAGATTCCCCGACGCCCACGTCTTTTGGGTTCATGCGAGCAACATCGATCGCTTTCGTCAGGCTTTCACTGAGATAGCTCAAGAATGCAACATTGCGGAACACGAAACCACTGGCGATATCCTCACTCTGGTCAAAAAATGGCTCGAAAACAGAAGAAAGGCCGGGCGCTGGCTTCTTGTCATTGACAACGCCGATGATATCGAAGTCTTCTTCCCTCCAAGCCGATCGAACAAGGATCCCAACTTGAGCAGTCAAAATCCAGAAGCAGAAACTTGCGTTGGGCGCTTCATACCTAATTGCAACCATGGTTCTGTTCTTATCACGACTAGGAATAAGCAAGCAGGCTTGAGACTCGCTCCAGGAAAGGATAACATCATCGAGGTCGGCTGTATGACCGAAACGGAGACCGAATCACTGCTGCACTCCCTACTATCTGAGATCGAGGACATCTCGTCTCAGGAGACGTCACTTCTCTCGAATCGGCTAGAACACCTACCATTAGCCATTGCGCAGGCGGCATCCTTCATCAACGAAAATTCCATATCCATCAACGAATACATTAAATTGCTAGATCAAAGTGATCTAAGTCTAGTGGAACGCCTAAGCGAGCCTTTCGAGGCAGTTGGGCGGGATTCGGAGACACCGCACGCGCTTACGGCAACTTGGATGATCTCCTTCAACCAAATCAAGCAGCAATATCCGTTGGCAAGCGATGCTTTGTCATTCGCCAGTCTTCTCGATCGTCAGGGCATTCCCAAACGGCTCATTCGGGACTACTGCTACGACAGGCTCGAGGAACTGTCGTCTTCCGAGGATCCCTTTGAAAAAGGCAATGTTGCTTTACAGGTTACCAAAGTCTTGGGTACTCTTCTCGCATTCTCATTCATCTCCAAGGCTGGCGACGACTTGTTTGATATGCACAGGCTAGTGCAGTTGACAACCCATAAACGATTGATCGACGAAAAAAGCATGGATTCATATGCAAACAGCGCCATTGCGACTATGTATCGGTCTTACCCCTTTAGCAGACATAAGAACCGGGAAAAGTGTCAGAAGTACCTTCCTCACGCATTGGCAGTCTTGGGACGCGCTCAACTCGATGAGCGAGAGCCCCGCATTCAAGCGGCCTACATCAACTGCGAGGTTGCTGCGCACTTATTTTCTCTGAGATTCTTTGAAGACTCAGCGCGATATCAGAGGCGAGCTCTAGGGGCTCGAGCGGAGCTACTGGGTCAAGAGGATGACCGTACACTGGAGAGCATGCAAAATTTAGCAGAAGTGTACCGCGAACTAGGGCAGTTCGACGAAGCCTTGAAGTTACTGTTCAGGCTGCTCGAGATTCGTGAACGATTGCGGGGCAAAGAAGACCCCAAAACGTTGACCGCCAACTATTTCCTGGCCAGGACGTACAACCAACAGGGCGAGTATTTGAAGGCCGAACAACTGCATCTGCAAAGATTGGAAGTGGAAAAAAGGATAATGGGGGAGGAACACGAACATACCCTAAGCACCATGCATGATCTAGCCCTATTATACTTTGAGACGAACAGATTGACAGAGTCCGAGGAGTTGAGCTTGCGCCTCATAGCTGCAAGTGCTAGGCCGTTGAACAAGCAGGACGCAACCATCAGAGTTTTATCTCACGTTTATATCGCACAAAATCGGTTGGAAGAAGCCCACATCCTGCTTTCAAAGTTAGTCGAGGACCAGACGGAAGCATTCGGAGAGGACGATCCATCCACACTGAGAAGTCTCCAGGTGTTGGCGGATGTGCGTGGGAAGCAGGGTCACAAAATGGAAAGGGCACAGATACTTCGACGCGTGCTGGAAAAAGCGAGACGGATATGGGGCAACACGAGTATCTTCACGTTGTTGGGCAAACGTTCTCTGGCAGCGGCCTTGGAAGGTATTGGTGATCTACGAGAAGCAGAAGAACTGCGTCAAGAGCATTTCGAGGGTGCGCTACTAGCCTATGGCGATAGGCACAATGAAACACTGTCTAGTATGCATGATTTAGCATGCATGAGGAGAAAAGTCGGTCGTGGAGAGGACGCAGCCAGGTTGTTCGAGGAATGCCTTGAAGGTAGGAAACAGAGTCTTGGACACATGCACGAGGATACTTTATTTACTATGCATGAGTTGGCATACTCATGGACCAAAATCGGTCGTATTGAGGATGCAGCAAAGTTGTTTGATGAATGCATTGAAAGTAGGAAACGGGTCCTTGGACATGGGCACAAGCTCACTCTATCCTCTATGCATGATTTGGCGTACTCATGGAGAAAACTCGGCCGTGTGGAGGATGCAGCAAAGTTATTTGAAGAATGCTTGGAAGGGAGGAAACAAGTCTACGGGTCTAAAGCTGAGCGGACTTTGCAAAGCATGGGTGAGTTAGCGAAAGCATTATGGATGTCGGGTCGGCTCGAAGAATCGACGAAGATGTACGAGGAAACTCTCGAAGCCCAACGCCAAATTTTCGGCCTTGCCAACGAGACGACCTTGGTCACAATGTACAACTTACAACAAGGTCTATATTCACTTGGTCGAGCGGAGGAGGCGATAAAGCTAATGCGGGAATATGTTGAGGGCATGAGACAAACGTGGGGCGAAGACGAAACCCTCACCAAGGAGGCCATCGAAAAGTTGTTGAAATATGAGGAACGGCTGGAGAATTCGAGGTGCGAGGGAGAAGACGCTTCGGTTTCGGACAATGCTTCAAGAGAGGGGTCGGACGATGAGTCCGGGAATGAGCCTCACGTACTTGTTTTGCAAGGCTCGGATGAGGACTCAGATAGCGATTCGGAGGGAGGCTCAGGGGTCTTATTGACGGAAAGCCCATGAGATGAAGTTCATCGGCAAATCATTTACATCGGGGAGTCATATCGACACATTTATGCTGTACATCTCACTGGGAAGGAATCAGAGCAAGCATGCTTCAACATTCAATGGCTTCTATATTACTACATTCGATCAAGACACCATAACGACATCTCTCTCCACATCCATCGCGTCCTCCATAGCAATATCTTCTATCGCAGGCGCGAGACTATCCATCTCCCGCAGGGTATATTCCACCAGATAACTCTCGTCCACAAGCTCGTCCATCCTTCTGTAATGCCTCTCCGTGTACACCTTGAGCGCGTTGAGCACCTCCTTGAGACTCTTCTGCCCGCGAGCCCCTTTGACGGAGAGGTTCGAGAACTTGGACGCAGGGTAGCTGCGGACGAGGGTCCAGAGGATGCGCTGGGAAACCGCCGCCGTCCGGGCGTTCGTGTTCCAATCTCTCAGCCTCAGGAGCAGGGTGAAGATCTGCTCGTCGGAGAGGGTGGCCAGGACCTGGTCGACGGCCTTGAGCCCGCAGAGACTGCCCTGCTCGGGGGTGCTGGAGGTCACGACGGAGGTGAACAGGCTCAGCAACCGGCCGGGATGGTTGAGCTGGAGGGCGAGGACGATGGCATCGCGGTAGGAGCCGGCGTGGATGTGGTTCTCGAGCTCCTGCTCCTGCTCGATCAGCTTCTGGGCAGCTTCGGTGGCAGCGGCCTGAGACTCGGAGGTGGTGTCCTTCCAGAAAGTTACGATCGAGTCACCGTCGCCGGAGACGATGGTGTTGTCAGCGGGGTTGACGGCCAAAGCCCAGATACGGTCCTCATGGTTGTCCAGGGTGCACTCAGCCTCGCCGGAGTTGGCGTCCCAGACCTTGACCAGGCCGTCGCTGCCGGCACTGGCGAACTGAATCTGCTTCTTGCCCTTGCCTTCAGGCTTAGGCATGTTCAACCAGGCAACCTTCAGGACACTGTTGGAGTGACCCTCGAATGTCCTGATGCAAGAGTAGTTGCTCAGACTCCACAGCTTCACAGTCTTGTCGGCACTGCACGTCAAGACAACACCCTTGCCAGCGACCTGGCCCTCGTCTCCTTGGATGGACGGGCACTGCGCAGGGGCGAACTTGACGGACCACACACCTCTGCGGTGGCCGCGCAGGATACCCTGAACTTCACCCTCCGCCACGGACCAAATCTTGACCATCTTGTCCTGGGACGAAGAGGCAAAGAGCTGACTTGAGGGGTGAACATCCATAGCGTTGATGTCCTTGTCGTGGGCTTTTCTGGTGAAGACTGCACGTCCCCCCTTCTTGCCCTGCTGAGCTTCCCTGGGAATATCCCACTTCTTGACGGTCTGATCCTGAGAACCGGTGAAGAGGAAGGGTGGTGGGTGGTTCAGAGGGTCCTTGAATTGTGCTGTTGATTCGGCCGGGGGCTGTTTAGGGAGTGTAACGGCACCCACCGACTCGGTGTGACCGGTGAAGGTGGCGTAGCATGTGAAAGAGTTGTTCGCAGGATCGACGCGCCAGAGACGAGCAGTGTTGTCCTTCGCGCCCGTCACAATCCAGTATCCAGACCAATCCACATCCAAAGAAACGATGATATCATCGTGTCCCTTCAGCAGAGCCAAGTCTTGACCAAAGTACGCGGAGTTCTCATCCGCTGGGTCGGCCTTCGAGTCCTTGACGGACACGATACGGATATCTTCGGCGTTAGTGGCCAAGGCGAGCAGGGAGCGGTCGGGGAGTAGGTAGTTAAGATCGATGATCGAGTCGTGAGTTCCGGAAATCCGCCTGAAAGGCTCCAACATAGAACCTTCGACGGCGTCCTTCTCGGGCACCTTGTAGAGCGCCAGGGTGTGGTCCACTTGCACGCAGAGAATGAAAGGAAGCTCTGGGTGAGAAACAGCGCTGACAATGCTCTCGGCCTCGGCCTTCGCAGGCTGGTCCTTCGTCAACTCGCGACCGGTGTCCGTATCCCAAATGCGCAGACAACCCTTGGCTCCCGCCGAGTAGGTCAAACGACCACCATTCACAAACCCAACAGCCTCGACGAGCTCGAGGCACGGCACAACCTTCCGCAACTTCCAAGACTTCGCATCCCACCAGATGATCGTCTTGTCTCTGCTTGCCGACACAATCGCATTCTGTTCGGGCGAGTAATCCAGGCCCTGGACGTTCGAGACGTGGGAGTCTAGGCTTGCAACAGCAGCGCGCTTGTGAAGATCCCAAACCCGCACTTTTCCGTCCTGACTACCAGACATCAAACGCCAGTTGGTCGTTGTGACGCTGTCGTCCTGCTCCTCGGTCTGCTTCGACTTCTTGCCCTTCTTTCCAGCCTTCTCAACCTCGGCATCGTTCGATCGCGCCGCAACCTCGAAGAAGTGGAGGGCTGAAACGAGGACACTTGGACCGCGGAAGGTGTGCGTAACGTAGCCTCCGACGATGTCCCAGACCTTGATCGCTCCGTCGGTTCCTCCGGTCGCAAGAAGGGTGCTCGTTCGGTCGACGGCGAGAACGACAACAGGGGTGCCGTGGGGCTTGAGGGATCTCGTGCACTTCGCTTCGATCGTTCCGTCTTCAGTGGTCTTCAGGGCGTAGATTTTCATGGACAAAGATCGGGAGCAAATGATGAGATGAGATCCGGAGGGTGTCACTAAAGTTGCTGTTAGCTACGTTCAATCGCAATACCGGCAAGACGTACAAGTCAAAGTTGAGATTTGTTCGCCATCCTAAAATAGCACTGTCAGATCTACACCAATTGAGCATGTCTCGGGGCGCATACTCCTTCGATCTTCGCGAGATGCTTTCCATTAGAAGGGTTGGTCAAAATCGCGTCCTCCCCTAAAGGAGTGGCCAGAATTTTGGCACCATTGTCCAATGCGACAGATCCGCCGGTGAAGATAGGGCGGATGACCCTTTCCGGTTCGAAAGTGGTCTTGAAAGGCTGTTTGCTCGCCATGTTGCAGATTGTTGAAGCAACACGATCAACCGCGATAAGCAGTTTCGGGGCAGAAAGTCTAGAAATTTTTCTTTCCCATCGGCGGGATGATGCTTATCGATAGCGTTATCTAATCGATGCCCCACTTGGTGCTGCATCCCAAGCTCCCGTCTCCCGACACCACGACACTGGAGCGGAAGCTTTCCTGAAGCACATCCCGGCTTATGACCTATTGAACACTGGCATTCATGCCACAAGACCATAGCGGTCTCTCCAAATGACGAGACTAGGTCCTTTGACGGCGCAGGCTCTGGTATGTCTATTGGATGCTCATCATGATACTCAACTAACTTTTTTGACCAGGGCCGGTCGCCGTTTGACGATGTGGTCGAAGGCGAAGGAGAAGCCGACCCTCGGGCACCTGAGCAGGAATACGACAGTCGCGGCCGACCGATGAACCCCGAGACGAAGCGAATGAATCGCGACATGGTGCGGGCTCATAACGAGGTCATGCAAGTCATAGGAGTCGCGGAGTCCGACAATGCACCCTCCACTGCAGAGGTCGACTCGGTACGGCGATACTTTAACTACGAAGATGCTGTCGGCACTCGGCTGCTCCGTTTCGGACGAGCACTGGAGATAGGAGGAGTCTGGGGCATCAACGGCATGCGACTGCGCATTCTTCTCTACAAGCGCTACGCCGACATCTCTTTTTTCGAGCTCCTTCAAAAGGAGATTGGCCAGCGCTCGATCGCGAGTTCTCTCGGAACCGGCCTGCCCACCTTTCTCAGCGGCCACGCCTTCAAGATGGCGACATACTACTTGTATCCTTTCCCCAGAAAAAACAAGTTGATCAACGCCGGCCTGTCATACATTCGAGTGCATCTTCAGCTTTACGTCTTCCTTCAGAGGCTGGACATCATACCCTCTAACAAATGGTTTCCGTCTTTGAGTTTCTTCATTCCGGGATCATCTTCGTCACCTATTGCGGCCCCCGAACCACCACCGGACTTCAGCGCAGCGTCTTTGGCGCGATATGCTGGCGCGTGGGCTTTCAACGCTCTTCCCTTCGTATCGTTCGTCATTTGGGGACAGGTCTGGACTGAAGTCACCGGACATTTGTGGCAAGAGTTCTATGGACGACTGCCGAACACAGTTCACCAGCGCAAGCCTCCGCCACCACCTCTTCCACCGCAGGCGCCGATCGCCCAAATTCCCGACCCGGAGCCAGAGCTTGAGCCAGCGCATGAAGAGCCTTTCTCCGAGGTGCACGACGAAACGAATGATGACATCACCCAGGAGACCAGCGAAGCAGCCCCGGTCCAGGCAGTCCGTCGCCCGAGCACGTTTTCAGCTAGAGGGGATGATTACGGCAGCGATGATGAAGAGGATGGAGGTGTCAGCGCAACCCTGATCAGCTTCGACGTTGAAGCTACAGAGTCGACCGACGCTCCTCCGGGATTATGGTCCGCCGAGCTTCGACCCAGCGCTGGTCCAGAAGGATCTGGCTATGGCCACACCGTGCAGTACCTGGACACCATGCTGACCAGGCTCCCCGCATGTCTGGCGTCTGACATCTTCACGGTCATATCTGGATATATTCTAGTATCGCCGTATGAAGCTTTTGCTCTGCGTCTGGTCGCGAGGTCCTACCGTCATAGAATGGGGCTTCCCTTAAATGACATCCATGAGATCAATATCTTCAGTGGCATGACTATGAGAGGGGTCACGAATTTCCTCGGATTGGAATTCATACATCTTGTGATTGCAGGCGAGCTTTGGGCTCTGGTCACGGGCCTTGCCCATTGGTTTCATCTCACGGAAGAAGAGTGGAAGTTGTTTAATGAACTGGATGAGCAAGAAGCCGCTGAAGAACGCCGCCGACAGCAGGATTAGGTCTGGCATGCATCATGGAGACTCAAAGGGATGAAAAAGGGCTTAGTAAAAGGATCAAAGGTGATTCCTTTTCAAGGATAGGAGTTTGGCGCGTCTGGTTAGTACAAGATACCAAGTATTCACTCAGTAGTTTACTCAAAGACACTATTTTTTATGACGATGCTGGAAATTTTTCATTTCGTTTACATGTCGATTGCAGCTCATAAGAATCATAAGTCTTGGGTATCATCAAGTACACCGACCAAGCCCCTCTTCCACTCCATATTTGTCCATATTTCAGCACGTGCCCATGATTCACCTCCTCTCCTTGCCCTTGCCCTTCTTCGCCTTCTCCGCCTCCTTCTTCTGGACAAATTCTTTGACCAAGTCCAGAAGATCGGGGTTTTTCCTCGCCAGCAACATGACGTCCTCGGTCCTCACCTGGGACCTCGAGGCATGCCGACTGAAGTTCTCCAGGTCAATGGCAACGGACTCTACGGGCGATTTAGCAACTCGAGTCGAGGAGAGCAGGAATTATGGAGTCACTGACCTATTTGAGACCAGACCATCTCGGTGAGCGCGCCGATGAATTGGGGAGTCGCGTTGCAGTTCTGTTTGAGTGACTCCTCGTCGACGATCTTGCCGATGGAGAACCAGAGAGCGGCCTTGAGGCGCTGTGTGCGGGATTAGCGGGATGGACTTGACGTCTGGAAAGAATGTCTGCATACCTCTCGCTGCTCTTCGCTCAGTGATTCAGGCATGTTGCACTTGATTTGGCGAGGAGCTTGCCGAGAAGTCGTTGATATGCGGACTTGATGCGTTTTCCACTTTACGCGACGGGCGCGTCGTTGATGTCGAAAGAAGGTTGTCACGGGCGCTGGACAACTGGACCAGCACACACGCGATTTCGACACAAATGCGTCACTGGCAGCAAACAGAGATGGTAGCCCTGGAAAGGACGCCCGGATGCTTTCGGGTCAAGTCCGGGAAGCTGGTGGTTGACAAGTCTTGAACTTGGGGATGTTGAGGTGAACAATCACATGATTTCGCGGGTATTTCGTGGTAGTGGATGACTAAGCTTTTATGGCATGAAGCACCTTGTGAATTTCGATCTCTAGACGCCAATCCTGTAAATGAAAATCGGCTTGCCATCAAATCATCAAGAACCGCTCCGTCACGCTGCAATTTTTTGCGAAGACCTTACTGCATCTCACATGGAACTCACATCGGAGATCTCAACACTGGCGAACTCTCAGCGGCATCGTTTGAGGCAACGCGCTGTGACATCACTGACAAGCCCCCTGTAAGACCCTTGGAAAGCGCTGAGCCTCCAACATTTCTCCAACATCGTGCCACCAATTGGACAAAGTTAGTTACCTTGGTGGGCTCCTCCACGTGGGGCCTTTGCGCGGAATTTCCTGCGCTCTGTCAGCGTCGCGACATTTTCTTTCGACCTAGCTTGATCCTAACCCGCATCGCATTTCTTTTGTTATTCCCTCAAAAGCCGCCATCTCATCCGGCTGAACCGACCCTAATTGAACGGCTGCACCTATATCGCAGACCGCCATCGATCATCAATCGCCTTGCTTCCCTAAGAGCCTCCGCAAACCCCTCACCCACCCATCTCGCAACCACATCGCCAAAATGGCCGGCATCTTCGACCTCCTCACCACAATCTGGACACGCTTCAGCACCAACCTGCGAGGCACCCTCGATGGCATGACCCCTGAGAAATGGATCCGCCTCGTTATCATCGTCGGCGCCTACTGCCTCCTCCGACCCTACCTTATGAAGCTGGCCGGCGGCAAGCAGATGAAGGAGCACGAGGCTCCCATCGAGGATCCCAACGCCGCGAAGGCCAAGGTCCAGCCCAACACCCTGCGCGGCCAGGTCGAGATCCCCGAGAACAGCGACGACGACGAGGAGGCCCCCGGCTCCACGACGGCGACCGATTGGGGCAAGAAGGCGCGCAGGAGGCAGCGCGACGTGCTCAAAAAGATGATTGACGTCGAGGAGAAGAGGCTCGCACAGTTGCAGGAGGATGACGAGGACAAGGATATTGAAGAGTTCTTGGTCAAGGAGTAGAAAAGTCACGATATGCCGAAGGACAATGGGCGGCTGTTTTGATGGCGTTCTACTCTGGTGGTCGCTTAGCATTTTTAATACGTAACTTCTGATGCTTTCTGGCGGCTGAGTTGCGATCATTCTGGGCTGTTTGGTGTTTCTTGACGAGTGAATGTGTCCGATGTTAAACACCCAGTGGTCGACCTCATACTGTACCAAGCGCACGTCATGTTGGACAATCAGCCGAGTTGGTTGTTGGACCTTCATTCAGCTTACAAACTTAGGTTGTCAACATTCTTATATTTGATCATTATTTCTCGTTAATCCTCCATGATACGTTGAAACCACCGTAAAGCAAGACATGAACCTTCATCGGGAATGCAACTCGAATGTTGGTACTCATCGTGATGAAAATGCGATGCCGATTCACGTTGATCTAACTTTGTCGTAGCAAGACCTTTTCGCCAACACAATACACTACAATAAGGTAGCCTGAGGGTCACAGGGTAGCTGGTCGACTCCTGTTTTGCTGCCCAGACGCTTGGACCATGGCACTCTGAACTCAGGGATAGAGGTGCCACTAAACTTTGCATTCACCCCTGGCCAGCCCCACTGTCCGAACTGCACAGCGCAGTGGATTTCGAGAAGTCAGTTCCTCTGGCGCTTCCCAAACGCGTCTCTAGAATCCTTTCTTTCTTACAAAATCACCACTTCCACGACGCTATCGCCGCAACATCATCGACGGGAGTCGCACCAACGGCGGCCTCGATCGACTGAAATTTAGGTGTCAAAATTACCCCTCATGCGACGACTAGCAACATTCTCGCAACACCCTTTCACAATACTCATTTAGCTGCTGAAAGGCGCAAACGCTCAGCTGTCACCCAACCTGGGCCCCCGACAAGATGGCGACGTCTGCGCTTCCGGCAGCGATGGCCACCGCCTCTGCAGATGTGACTTCCCAGGCTGCGGCTAGCAACGACACACCGGCACCCAGGCAATACAAGGCGTCCGATCTTCCACTACCGTCTGCTACCCGAGCAGCCATAGATTCCCTGGCGCACAGCTTCAAGAAGAAGGGTGGCTACGACGCCATTCGCAAGGAAGTTTGGGATAAATTCGCCGCCAGTGTAAGCCTGGCTCTGCGCCTGGTCACCAGCTGTTCACTGACAACAACCGACAGGACTACGAAGAACAGGTCAAAAAAGCTATCCTCGAGGTCGCCGAACAAGAAGTCGAACGAAATCCGCAACAGCTTCTCACGCTCGACCGGGGCAAGGCTGCTGCTCTCATCGATGGCGCTCTCGAACGATCCGGCGTTTATCAGAAGGCCGAGCAAGTTATTACACAGCTCATTGACAAGAATGCGATTGAAGAGCGCATGCGGGTGCTGCGTCGCACTGACATCGGCGAAGAGGAGGCTACTGCGGAGCAACAGCGAGGATCCAAGACGGACGAAGAATATCATGCAGACACGATGGCAAGACGAGCAGGTCGCGAACGACTTCGCGAAGAGTTGAGGCAGAAGGAGCTGGCCATTGAGGAAGAGAAGCGCAAGATCGCCCGGGAAGAGCGTAAGAAGCTCGAAAAGGAGCGCGAAAAGGCAGAAGAACAACGCAAGTCCGAACGGGACGCCCGAAGAGCTGCTAGGGAGAAGCTCCAGGCTGAACGAGACGCCGAGCGAGAAGAACGCCGCCGCCAAAGAGACAGGGAGCGGAGCAGAGACAGAGACAGAGATCGAGACCGCGACCGCGACCGCGACAGGAGCAGAAGCCGCAGCCGTCGTAGGGAGAGGGACCGCGAGCGTGATCGCGAGCGTGATCGTGAACGTGATGCCGAGCGCTCACGCGAACGCCGAGAGGAAAAGGAACGCAGACGCAAGGAGCGAGAAGAGGCCACCGAGCAAGCCAAGAAGAATCTCTCACAGGAAGATTTGAAGAGGCTCGAGGAGGAGGCTCTTCTGGACCTCCTGCGCGATAGCACTCGCCACACTGCGAAGCAACCGGAGATGGAGATTGATGAAGCACTGGCGCCCCCGCCTAGAAAGCTGGCGCCGGCGTCTGCCATCATGCCCATCAAGAAGGCCGCTTCACGCGATTCGCCCAAGGTTTCGGAGCCTAAGAAATCTTCCGAACCCGTCAAGAAAGAAACCCGAGATACTAGTGTAGCTGCGACCCCGAAGGCAGAAACTGCCGAGCGACGGGCTAGAAGCCCCAGCAAACCGAAAGACGATGGAAAGGACCGCGACCGCGACGATGACCGACGGCGCACACGGGATGACGATGACCGTCGTAGACGTGACCGTCGCTCCAGATCTCCGCGTCGTGATCGCTCTCGCGACAGGCGCGACAGGTCTCGGTCCCGGTCCAGGACTCGACGGGACCGGAGTCGATCTAGAACGCGTACTGAGAGACGTGATAGGACACGGTCTCCCTCTCGCACCCGAGCTCGACGGGACCGCAGCCGTTCTCGCACACGCCATGATCGACGCGATAGGAGTCGTTCTCGATCTCGCGGTGCAAGAGACTGCAGTCGCGATCGCCGCGATAGACGAGACAGAAGTCGCTCACAGCCCCGGACGGAGCGCCGTGACCGAAGCCGCTCCAGGACTCGAGTCGAGAGAAGGGATAGGAGCCGGTCTCGCTTGAGGTCAGAGAGACGTGAGAGATCCCGCTCGCCATCTCGGACACGTGCAGACAAGAGAGACCGGAGTAGGTCTCCGCGAACCGATCGACGTGATTCCATCCGCCAAGAGCGCAGCCGTTCTCGCACAAGAAGAGACCGTTCGCCGGAAAAGGTTAAGGACCGGGACCGGGAACGCGATCGCAGAAGTAGATCACGGTCACGTCCCACCTCTTCAGCCGTCAGGTCCTCGTCAAAACTGGATAAGGACCAGGACGTCAGGGAGTCGACGAAGATGGACGAGGTCCGGAAGCGAGAGAAGGAAGCCAAGGCGTATCTCGCTGCGCAGCGTGAGGCTCGGGAGAAGGGTATGCCAGTCCCTGGAATCGATGATAAGAGAAGCACAGGGGAGCGATCTCCCGAAGCCAAACGCAAGCGCGATCTCGACGAGATAGATCGGTACGTGCCTCCTGGTAGAGACAGGGAGCGACCACACGATCTTGCAAGAGATGATCGTGATGACCGTCGCCGCAGCCGCTCACGGAGCAGGAGCCGAACCAAGGACCGTGCTAGGGAACGCGAACGGGATCGGGATCGGGATCGGGACCGAGACAGAGACCGCGACAGACGAGATAGAGACCGGGATAGGGACCGGTCGAGGGATAGAGATCGGTCGAGAGATCGTCGAGACCGCGACAGAGAGAGGGACCGTGATAGAGACAGGTCCAGGGATCGTCGGGATCGTGACAGGGACAGAGACAGGGACCGTGATCGTCGAAGCCGGAGGGATAGGAGCCTCTCGTCGCGCCGAGACAAGAGAGATGTCAGCCGCAGTCGTCGAAGAAGCAGGAGCCGCTAGGAGCCGCTGCCTAGTCGTCCGGCTCCTGCGGCAGGTAATCTCTTGGAAACGAGAATGCAGTCTTCGTCCTGGCAACAGGCTCATAGTCATGAACTGTGGAAAGCTCTCTCCAGTGGCCGAAGGGTGTTCGGTCCTCAGAAGAAGGCCACAGGATAGCATCTTTCCTTTTTGATATCATACAATTATGCAATACCCACTACCTCTAGCTTCCGTTGCTGTCGCCACCCCTGTCCATATCATAGTTATGTTGGGCTAAATTTTTGCATCGGGCGGGGGTTGGCCATCAGGGCCGTTCTTCAGAACGCGTTCCTCTGTCGAACGGTCGGTTCCGGCGTGCGACGGCCCCACATTGAAGTTCGGGCTCGGACCGGCTACCGGAGGCGGCAGGGAGGCGGCTATTCCGCACGGGAACAAGTGTCCGAAGAACCCTGGACCCTGGCAAAGTGGCCCGATTCTCAAATCACACCGTGCTCATCACAATCACCAGTCAAAACTTTATTTGGCTGTAAAGTGTAATGGTAAGAGAGCATATCCAGGCATCGCTTACGGGCGACAGCACCTATTGCGATACGAGTCACCACTCTCGCCAGACCCATCCTGCCATGTCCGCGGCAGTCCGTCGAGCGCATCGTCTGTATGCAACGCCGTTTACAGGGCCGTCTCGGCGGCTCTTTTTCAGGGTTCACCTCGCCGACGCTGCGTCGCTTTTCTCAGCCTTAGCCGGCTGGCTGCCATTCGAAACGGCTGGACAAGCCAGGTTACTCTCGCGGCTGTTTCGAGTCTGTGAACTCTGAGAGAAGAAGGCGGAGTAGTCCGCATCGCGAGGAGGCAGTACTAAACATAGATCGTACTGAACGTTTCCATGTTATCTGGTATGCGATCAGTTGCTCTGCTCATTTTCATTGATGTAACCACTGCAATTGTTTAAATCCGCCCATCTCGCCACGTGTTAATTGGGGTAAGCAATTTTTCTGAGAAATGACACCCAAGACGGCCTGGGAAATCGGTCGACTCGGTTCGTCTCTGTGGGAGTCGGATTCAGCAACGCCAAGTCAAGGCAGGCCTGTCATGGAATGTGGAGGTGGAGATTGGCCACCCGGGCTTCTGAATGGGCATGACGGTCTCAGGAAGTTCCCGGCGGTTCCGTCTGGGGAAACTTTATTTCGGCCTCTGGGACGCTCCGTCTCATCTTTTGTCGTTGTCGTCCTCGTCGTCGTGTTCACTTACACGGACCAGAATCCCACGCGTGCCGCGGAGTATGGAATTGCGCAGCGGCAGCTTTAGAATGAATGTGAGAATGTCGTCTCAAATGGTTTTGCTGCGTCGAATATGTGAGACTCGTTACGAGCTCTCACGGAATATTCCAAACAAAAGTAGTAATAGTACATGCTGTGTACGCCAACATGTTGTCCAAGTGATACGCCCCAAACGCCTGCCATCCCGTCTTTTCTGGGTCCGTTCCGGACTCTCCGATCACTCTACAAAGCACATGCCAACACTTTTCCGTCTCTACTTTGGCGTGTAGTCCCTGAAATTGCCGTTAGGAGGGTCGCGGTCCAGGAGGAACTTGAACTTTTCGTGATTCTTCTTGACGTAGTCCGGGACGTCGTAGTTGTGTTCCACGCGGTCGAAATTCGACTCGCCTCTGCCAAAGCTGTGACGGGTGTTAGTGACTTGTCAAGGGTCTGTGGGGAAACGATGACTTACATGTCGAGACCCCTCCGCGCGACCTGCACAACCCAGTCCGGGTCCTTGAACTCGGGCTTGTTCAGCTCGGCGTGCGAGAACGAGTTGATCTTCTGCGCCATCTCCTCCACCGTGCTGAAGCAGTAGCTGCAGTGCCACCCGCCGTGGTTGAAGTGGTGGTCGTCGGCGTTCCGGCGCAGGTCGTCCGGCAGCACCGTGTCGGCGCCGCGGTACACCGTCGCCTGCGGGTGCGTCCAGTCGTTGCGCGCGAGCCACTGGTACGAGTAGTAGTAGATCTTGGAGTGGATCGTCACGCGCGGCGGGATCGCGCAGTTGCGCAGCGCGCGGAGGACCTCGGGCTTGGGGATCTCGTCGACGTCCGAGACGATGAGCACGTCGTCGACGGACGCGGCCTGCTCGCCCGTCAGCCCCGGGATGACCTGCTCGTACATGGCGTTGCGGCTCTTGGCCTCGCGGTCCCAGGTGGAGCCGTCCTTGAGGGCCTCGAGGTCCATCTGGCGCAGGATCATCTTGTCGTGCCAGGGGCGGAAGAGGTCCCAGTTCTCCTTGATGTAGAGGGGCTTCTTCTGGTCGGTGAAGGTGGTGTCGGACTCGAGGATGACGAAGTAGTCGACGTAAGGGGCCATCTGGCCCATGCGGAGCTCGAGCATCTCGACCTCGGTGTTGACGAGGAGGAGGTCGTAGACCTTGCGGCGGCGGACGAGGTCGTGGGCCGCGGGCTTGAGGCGGTAGTGGTCGCAGTACTCGGCGGCCTTCTCGGGCGGGAGGACCTCGCCGCTGGCGAGGCCCGGGCCGCCGAGGCCGCTCGTTTTGAGGGCGTCGTAGGGCGTGCTGATGTGCGGATGGGCGATCTTGCGGGCTTGCTCGGCGACGCCTTGGTGGAGGTCGAGGCGCCAGACTAGCCAGATGAAGACGACTGAGGCGACGACGGCCAGATACTTGATCTGGTGGCTCGAGGAGGGTTTGGTCATGTTCATGGCGGGCATGATGGGGTATCTTGTGGTTTGTCTATATCACGAAAGAGAGAACGGATGAGGTGCCAGATGAGAGACACGCATGTCTACGCTCCGGCGGCGGATGAGGAGAGGAATAAGAGAGTTCGGCCCAGGACAGAGGGCCAAGGTGTCTTACACGCGAAGAGATGAGGCGAGATACATGGGCCGATGAGGGGTATGGCCTGAAGTCGCTGAACTCTGAAGGGCTCGATGAGTGGTGGCCTGAGCTCTCATCAGAGTTCAAATCTGTTGCTGCACCGAGTCGGTCTCGAACACTTCCAAGAACGACGGGAGCCTATAGCTGCCTGCCCTTGTATTTACCGGTGGACTTTCATTGTTGCCGGAGGGAGGAGGCTCTCGGTCAAAGGGCCAGTCAACTCAAGAGCCGTCCTTGCGGTTCAGACACAGCCATCGTGGAGTAAGGTGGTATAGTTCCATCCCGTCGGTGTGTTCATCTTGTGGAAAGGTTAGCTGATGATTCATTTAACAGTAATATATACTCACCAAGCTTATCTATCTTCAGTATAGTGTCGCCCATAATGATGTTACGGTCGCATTATTGAGGTTATTGATGACTGCGATCTCATGACAACTGTAAACATTAAGACAGGTTTGGTGTCTTCAAGGCCACTCGGCTCGGCAGCGATATGAGCGGTTGTCCAGAAGCTAACCGCTATGTGGCCGGTGTCGCCAAGAGATTGGCGCGAAGAAGCTCATACCGTGCCGCAGTTGCCCACTTCATCGCGGTTCCTAATCTCGTCGTTGGTTCTTCAGTCGTTAGGGAAAGTCTCAGTCTGTTGGAAGCCCGCGTCCACGGCCCCGGCCAGATCAAAACGGGGCACAGTTCAGGGGTTACGCCGGAAATATGCACCGTACGCAGGTACGGGCTCCATTTGGCTCCCTCATGGACCCTTGTTTTGCAAGGGTATATTTCTCGTTGGTGCTGAGAAAAGACCGAAGTCGCATCGCGCATCGCGGACCAACAACATCAGGTCTCATTTGACCAACGCAACTCGAGATTCTTGGAGATTTTTCATTGAGAAGAGACTCGCACTCACGTGAGGCTTGTGTCGTGTCATCGGGTGGGACATGCAGAGGACAAGATGGCATTGGGACTGGGACTGGGACTGGGCCGGGTTGGGGTTAGTTCATGCTCTCAACCCCTGTCCCAAGAGCTTAAATTAAACAAAAACACGACGGACAAAGTCAGCGGCAAACCGGGTGTCTCGGCGCGCGCGCTATATCGTTGGCCGTTTGGGACCTGGGTGTTGCGGCACAGGCACCGCCCTAGCACCAACTCGTCAATACGATGCAATCGCGGGGCCGCGCCAAACAGACTTTCCCTCTCTCTCTCGCTCTGGGTAAGGAGAAGTGTCTCCTATTTCTGTATGCGCATAATTAATACCTACGAATGCTAGTGAGATGTCTTGTCTGACATTCTGATTGTCTCTGTCTTGACTTGTGTCGCATGTCGGTACTCACTCCAACTTTCAGATCTCACTCAACTCAGATCAGCTGTCAGTCAACCCAGACTTCCTTTCCTCGTCCGAACACACGGATACATCCTGTCTTCGAGCTGCCCGTCTCTGCTCCGAGGGCCGAGTGAAAACACAGAGAGAGTTGCGAGTGGCACTTGCATTGATTCTTGGTTGCACTTGCACACAGCATCACTCTGTACAACTTTAGTCGACGATCCAGACTGACTTGGGAAGGCCAGGCTGACAAGACGGCAGGGGAAAGAAGCCTCATTTGGCCTGTTGCCTAACTGATTGCTTGGCTGCTCCTCAACCACTCATTCAGCTCACCACCACGGAATAACTCGTCCGTTTCCTTCCGCTTGTTCGCCCAACCAACAACATTTCACCATTTCACGAGACGAGGTGATCAAAGAAAAGCCAAGACCACAGGGGTCAGCAGCATCAGCAGCATCAGGTCAACTGTAGCCGACCCGATTGCTGTCCGGTTGCCAGTATTAGTACCCTGGCTCCCTCCACGTGCCTGCCGCCGCCCGACCTTAGCGGCTCCTCTCCACAAAGTCATTCACTCTCACTCACTGTCTTCCGTTTTCCCCTCAGTCAGCCCAGCCGAAATACCTATTTACTCCAGCCACCGGCGGTACTCCGTACTGGTACCTAACACGAGAAATCCGCCTACCTTAGCTACCCAAGGAAGGGCAAGGGAAGGGGCTCATTCGGGTTCCTGCGCCGCAACAGAAAAATAGTCCAACTCCCAGCGCCAGCGCCAGGACCTGACGGCGCGACACCAGCTCCAACCAACAGCCGCTGCGCTTCTCCAACGCCTCCCCAGTACCCTGTTGTCCTAATCTTTTTCTCGTCTTACCCTTCCCGCGACCCCGTTCTCTCATTCATTCCTTACCACTCCCTCTCAACGCGGTTCGTGGTGAATCTCACTGCCCTCCACCACCCTGCCACCATCTTCCTCTCCTTACCTACATCGTCGATGTTAGTCCGTGGTTGATTTGTCGCGCGCCCCCGTTCATTCACCATCGTTCATGTCATTCTGTTGACCCGAGGATTCCTCTCTTTCTCCTGCGCGATTCTCCTCCCCCGTACCGCAGCGCATCTCCGGCCCACACCCGCCGCCTCCGTCGCCGTACCTCAACCGACGCCGACACCGACGACACCGATCGCCAACCCTCTTGGCCTTTCTTGGTCCCTCACGTCCCATCCAAAGCACCATCTCAGTTCGAACATCTCCGTCATGACCACCCTTCCAACAACAGAGAAGCATTTGGCTTCCAAGGCCATTCATCCGGCCTTCTTCATCGCGTATGCTGCACCTGCACCCTTGTGACCCCACGCCCTCATCGTCACTCATCTAACCGTCGCTCAGGAGCTGGATCTTCTTCTCAAATCTTACTATCCTCTTCAACAAGTGGTTGCTTGACACTGCAGGCTTCAGTAAGTACAGTCCGCTACTGACTACGACTCACGCAAGCTAACCGTGACACAGAATACCGTATGTGATTCTCATCCCTAAGCGGAGCTTTCATCCCTCTCGCCCCCCCTCGCTCATCTCTCACTTGCTAACACCACCTAGCCGTCATCCTGACATTTTGGCACCTGGTCTTTTCCACCATCGCAACTCAGGTGCTGGCGCGCACCACCAGCCTGCTCGATGGCCGCCATAAAGTGAAGATGACCGGCCGCATCTACCTGCGAGCCATCGTCCCCATCGGTCTGCTGTACTCCGGCTCCCTCGTCTGCTCCAACCTGGTTTACCTCTACCTTTCCGTCCCCTTCATCCAGATGCTGAAGGCCGGCGCCCCCGTCGCCGTCCTCATCATCAGCTGGATCTGGGGTGTTGCTGAGCCTTCCATGAAGGTCTTCTACAACGTCATGCTCATTGTCGCCGGTGTCGCCCTTGCCTCCTTCGGCGAGATTGAGTTCTCTTGGATCGGCTTCATCTTCCAAATGGGCGGCATCGTCTTCGAGGGCATCCGCCTCGTCATGATCCAGGTCTTGCTCACGGGTGAAGAGAGCAAGATGGACCCCCTCGTCAGTCTGTACTACTACGCCCCGGTCTGCGCTGTTATGAACTTCTTCGTCGCCTGGGCCAGTGAGTTCAGCACGTTCAAGCTGGAAGACCTCCAACAGACAGGTATCTCAGTGCTGCTGCTCAATGCCGGTGTCGCCTTCATGCTCAACGTTTCCAGCGTTTTCTTGGTGAGTTGCACAGCCCCTGATCCGCTTATGCCCCGGACACTAACGGCCCCACAGATCGGCAAGACATCCGGCCTGGTCATGACCCTCACCGGCATCCTCAAGAACGTCCTCCTCGTCATCGCTTCCGTGCTCATCTGGCACACTAGCGTCACCTTCATGCAGGTCATCGGCTACTCCATCGCCCTCTTCGGCCTCGTCATCTACTCAACCGGCTGGGAGCAGATCAAGACGTCCGCACAGAACGGCGTCGCCAAGGTCCGCGGCGCCTGGAACTCGGGAGCCCTCGATGAGGGCCGTCTCTCACCGCTCGTCCGCCGCGCCATCTTCTTTGGCCTGCTCGTCCTCATCACCCTCATGCTCGTTGTCGGATTGGCCTACAACGGCAAGGCCGCGCCGTCGGACTGGCTGCCAACCGTCGGCTCCTCGAGCCGCTAAGCGTGTGTCATTTTTGGGATTTCTTGTACAAAGCGGGGAGTTTTAGGAGTGTGCATCATATCAAAAGATGGGGAAAGGACCAAATCTTCGAAAAGAAAAAGAGGATTCGGGATCAGCCGTTGGAGGTCCGGGGCGCTCCTCTCCCTTTCGGATCGAGGGCGTCAGCAGTGTATATCATGAGCCGGCATTTTTTAGAGATATAGCCTCGGGAATACATGATTATGAACAACGGCCCTTGGCCACCGGTGATGGGGAAAAAGGTGGATTTGAGTTCGCAACGAGATCCAGCACAAGATCCTCGCCAACCTATCACGGACGAAGAAACTCTGCAAGCCAAGGCTTACTAACAACAGGTCGCAACGTCAGCCCATCCGCCTCCTCATTGCAAATGGCGCAAAGGAATGTAAGCGCCAATTCGAAGCTAGATCAATCTGCAGCAACGCGCAACCAGAACCTTGATACAACCACTTCTGCAACTTGATATTTCTTCGCCTCTCATACATACCAACAACCAGATCTCACTCAGCCTATCGAACGAGGACTACTCACTCACCCACCCACAACCACACGCTCACTCACTCGCTCACTCACTCACACGCACACCCAGCTCACAAACACCGCGCACCACCCACAATGCCTCTAACAGCAGACCTCCTCGCCTCAGACCCGGAAACCTACCGCCGCGCAACCCAATCCCCCTTCCTCTCCGCCGCCGCAGCCGGCCAGACCCCCAAGCCCGTCCTCGGCCGCTGGCTCGCCAACGACAGGCTCTACATCCACGCCTACATCAAGGGCGTCGGCCGCCTCCTCTCCGCCCTCCGCCTCCCCTCCACCACAAGCCCGGCGCCCACGGTCCCGGACAAACTCGTGCAGTGGCTCGTCGACGCGCTCGTCAACGTCCGGCGCGAGGAGAAGTTCTTCGTCGACACAGCGCGGCGCTTCGGCATCGAGGTCGATCTGCCCGCCGGCCCCGACGGCGTCGTCAGGCAGGAGGATAAGCTCGAGGGGCTGAGGCGGTTCGAGGGGCTCTTCGCGGGGTTCGAGACGGGAGGAGGGGAGTTGGAGTGGTTGGAGGGCGCGGTGTTGCTGTACGCGACGGAGAAGTGTTACCTCGACGCGTGGACGGGGGCGAGGGAGCAGTTGAAGGAGGAGGAGGGGGATGGCAAAGGGGACGCGGATGGGGGCGCGTTGAGGAGGGAGTTTATCCCGAATTGGAGCAGCGAGGAGTTTAGGGCCTTTGTGGATGAGTTGGGCGGGATTATTGATGAGGGTGTTGAGAAGGCTGGGAAGGGGGTCGAGGGGGAGCTGAAGGAGAGGGCGTTGAAGGTGTGGAGGGAGGTTTTGGTTGCTGAGGAGCACTTCTGGCCTGCTTTGCGAGTATTGCAAAGTCGAGGGAAAGAGTCGTGCACAAGATTTCACGCGGTTGGTTACAGATGCAAAGAGTGTGTCTTTGTGGTCAATGAATTATCATTTGTTACCAACTACCAAAAGAGTTGAAATCCCCCATTAAGCCTGACATCTAGTCCAGAGCTTTGCTATCCATGTGTTTTCCGCACCACATTTGGTATTACCGCGGACCCAACGCCATCGCTATGCTATAATCAACAACCGCAACTTATTCGTCTCCTGCGCGTACCAAAGCTTGTACCAAAGCTTGTACCAAAGCTTGTACCAAAGCTTGTTCGGTTAGACAGCTATTACTCGAGGCGATCGCTCAGTGGTTTTGCTATCTGCCAACTCATCATCCTCACCTAATGGCAGAGGTACAGAAGATGCTTTCTTCTCGTCCTTGCTGCTTGGCGGCTCTGCTGTGACAACCGTAGTCACAGAAGGCATCTCGCCCTCATCGTCATCAGTCTCGGAGACCTCCACAACAGTGCAAGTGAATGCGGGCTTCTCAACCTTTGGCGTCTCATCGTCATCCGCAACTACTTCTGCGCTTGAAATGATGACCGGCTCCTCGGCAGGAACCTCAGATGCGGGTAGAATGTTTGGATCGACACAGTCGTAGAAGAGCATGAAGACGTTGTGCTGGTCCAGAAGCTCCTCCTCGTCGATTTTCCTAACGCTTTCGTCGCTGAGACGCCACCAGTCCATCTCTACGTCTGTGTCATCCTCTTCGTGATGAGGCTTGACCATAGAATTCATACTTTTCTTGTCGTCATCCGTATCTGTCTCCCCAGCAGTGGGAGGAGAATGCCGGGGGAATTTGCGATACGCGACGTAGTGCCCATTTTCGTGTCTACCGTAATGGGTGACTACGGCGCGAAGCTCGTAGATTGGTCCGGTGATGTACGACTTTCGCTTGTCGCCTGCTATCATGGAAGATCTTGGGTCAAGCAGCCACTGCTCCTCCTCGGATGCATCGCTCAATATCGGAGATGCTGTACCGTCGATGGGTTCGCGGGCGGCGGCATTGGTCGGCTTGGTGGCACTACCTAGACACCACGGGCCGAGGTCCAATGTCAACGGAAAGCGAATGCCCGCGGAGTTCTTGTACATCATGCCGGAGTTTTCGTCGAACACGGATCGGTTCATGTGCACAGCCAGGCTTTGCGGGGGGCGAGCAATGACCGCCTGCTTCGTCTTCGTAGAGGAAACCTTGCTGTTAGAAGTGATCTTGCACTTCTGGGTGATCGTCTTGTCGTCGAAATCGTCTTCCTCCAACGCTTCCTCGACAGCCGCCAGCCGCGACCGTGGCTCTGCCAGCCTGTCTTCATCCACAGTTCCCTCCATTCTTTCAATGAGAATGGTCAAAAGCCTCTTCGCCTTAAGAAGAGTGCACTTGCCACATTCCACACCCTCGATCGATTCGATATGCGCGTACGCGTCCAGGAGTTCGTAGAGGTCGTGGTCGTTTCCGTCCGTGTTCAAGCTGAGCGTGAGACAGTTGAAAGGAATCATGGAAAGTCCGTCAGAGTGGCCACACTCCACGCAAGCGACTCTTTGCGCGGTCAAGCCCTCGAGAGGGTTGCGCAAAGGCTTGGACGCAGAGTTGATCTTGGAAACGGTCGACATGCTCTGGTAACCGCTGTCGTCGCTGTGTTGGCTTGTCGCCGTATCGTCGTTGGCACATTCCGACTCGAATCCCGACAACTTTTGCGACGCTTTTGCGACCTTGGCTATCTCTTTATCCACCTCGTCGAGCAGTTTGGAGAAGTACTCCTGCGCGTCTTGTTGCTGCCATGTGCTCATGTTCTTTAGCGAACCCGGTGTCCACAGAGTCTTTCCATAGTTCCGAGTGCTGTTCAGGTCTTCAATCAGGTTTCGCAGCGTGTCGACGGCCTCGACCTTTTCCCGGTCGAGTTCGGGGTCTTGGACGGGATCGGCGAGATACTTCGGTAAAGGCTTCAGCGATGCGAGGCCTTGGAGAATGCTGTTCTGGTAGCATGAGTTATCGAGATTCCCCAGGCCAGGGGGAGAGTTGCTGGATCCCTTAAAACCCATCATGGCCCCCGACATTGACGAAAAACCTCTTATGCCGGCCTGGGAAACCGTCCCCATGATGCCTCCCTGTCTGTCCATGCCGAGTATTTTTCGCAGGAGATCGCTCTTCGCGGCATGTGTTCTCGCTTGATTCTGGAGCATCGGTCGCGGAACTAGTGGTGGATGCAGCCAGCCTTCGAGAAGGGTCAAGGCGTCGTATGGCGTAATCCAAACAACAATGTCCCAGAGGGTCTGACCGGCGCGGAGGAGCAATGTGGTCGGAAGAGCAGATGCGCCGAAAATGGAGTAAAGCGCAGTCAGGACGAGAGCAAAGAGGGACACTATGACGCTCGGCTCGTTAAGCCTCGTCCAGAAGCTCGGTTGGTCGTTGTAGGGGTAGTATCGTCGGTAAGGATCAGGTCCGTCGTAGAGATCCTTATATCTCGAGCCCGGAGAATTCATACTGCCAAAAGGGTTGTTTGGGTTTGAGACGTCGGATGGTGGATGAGATGGAAACGAACAGCTTTAAGCAAGCTTGAGTAGAGATGTGACTGAGGAACCGGGCAGTGCCATGTCGGGGATGATTAATCCAAGGGCTGACCAGGGCGATGCTTTCGCGAGTTGGAAGGTGGCCGCTGCTCGTGATCTGTGGGAAGAAAGGCGCTGGAATGTCTGAATGCACGGTTGGACGGTTGAAAGTTCCACGGTTCGTTAAGCAAAGGCGGCAAGCGGGACCACGAGTTCCACAGGGGGCGAACTCTCTGACCAGGATTGGTCAGTGCGCTGCAAGCTTCCGCGAAGGCTTGTGATTATTCCTTCTTATCACGATAAGATTCTACACCGATAAGGAATTTTCTCAGTTATCCCCCACACAACGGTCGTCTGGGCGGTTGACCAATCTACATCACCTCGCAAAACGAAACAATTGGTCGCAAAGATGGCAAAGCCGGGCGTTTCAAAGAAGAACAGACGTAAGACGGCATCCTTTGTCTTTGTTTCTTGTCTCTAACCCGGAAACCAGAACCCTCTAAGCACTCGAGAGCCGCGAGGCGTGCAACCGATGTGGACATCGACACCGACAAGTCTCTCAAGGATGTGAAGCCCCCGTCCGCAACGACCGAACGGCCGTCCGTCCTGGCCGCCCACCACAACTCTGGCGTTTCCAAGAAGACGAATAACCGCAAGTCGCAAATGAGCGCCAAGGCGAAGAAGAGGAACGAGAAGGCCATGGATCGCGCCGAGGCCATCATGGACAGAACCTCCAATAAGAGGGAGAAGAGCAAGAACTCTTCGCGCACGATCCAGGCGCGGAGGAAGGGCTGGGAGGACATCAACAAGAACATTCCCCAGAAGAAGTTCCCCGACGAGGAGGACTTGGAGCAGGAGGAGATGAAAGCCAGACAACAAGTCGCTGCCGAGAAGGACTGGGAGACGGACGAGGAGATGGAGGGTGCCGATGAGGAGGTTGCGTCTACGACCGCCGCTGCCCAGGCACCGCCACCACAAAATGACGATATCGATGAGGAAATCTTGTAGTTTGTCGTTTCTCAGTTCACTTCGGATTGCACAAAAGGTGGTGTCTTGGTAGACTGCGCCTAGGACAGGGCTATGAGACTTATGACAGATACCCAAATGATGGTTGAAGATCAGTTGCGCAAAGAGGATATGGCACATGTGAAGCGATTTTGAACATGAGGTCTCGTAATAATTATAGTTGCTACCACTGCTGCTTCGAAAGTCCAAACTTCATTTCACCTTCGCAATGTCGAATTCCATTCGCATGAGGTAGAGAGGTTGCAGCTGCATGACCATTAGCTCCACTAAAAGCTACTAAACTTACAGGGCCCCCGGCGGGGAATTGGCACCTGCAGGTCCGTCCCGTCCAGGCCCCTAGCCTCTCGATGAAATCCAGCTCTCCTTCGACCTCGAATTTTCAACATCACCCATTCGTCTCAACCCATCATACCAGCCACGCAGCCAACATGCCGCCCAAACGCATGACAGCGAACCCCGTCAAGCCGGCGCGTCATCGACCCGGCAAGCCATCGGCGCAGGAGGCGTCCTCCTCAGACTCGGACGCCAGCGACGACGACAACGAGACCAACGCGGCCGACACCAAGGCCAAGACCATCCCGCCGCCCCCCAAAGCCGCCAGCGCCGCCAAGATCGCCAGTAACCTCAGCAAGGTCAATCTCGACGAACGCAGGCGGCAGGCGCAGGAGCTCGAGGAGCGCAGGTTAGCCCGGGAGAAAGCCGAGCGCCTCGCCGCCGAGGAGGGCTTCGTGACGGAGGAGGAAGAAGAAGAAGAAGAAGGGGCCGACGATGACGACGAGGAAGAAGAGAGCTCCAGCGAGGAGGAGAGCAGCAGCGAGGAAGAAGCGCCCCGCCGCCTCATGATCCGGCCGAAATTCATACCCAAGAACCAACGCAACGCGGCAAGAGACCCCTCCGCCGCCGCCGCGAAGGACGAAGAGACGCGCCTCGCCGAGGAGGAGGCCCGCCGCAAGGCCGCCGCCGACGCGCTGGTCGAGGAGCAGATCAAGAAGGACCTGGCGGCGCGGGCCGCGGGCAAGAAGCACTGGGACGACGACGAGGCGTCGGGGTCGGACGTGGACACGACGGACGACGTGGATCCGGAGGCGGAGCTGGCGGCGTGGCGGCTGCGGGAGCTCAAGCGGGTCAAGCGCGAGCGCGACCGCATCGCCGAGCAGGAGGCCGAGTACGCGGAGCGCGAGCGCCGGCAGAACCTGACGCAGGAAGAGCGCGACGCCGAAGACGCGGAGAAGATCGCGAAGCAGCAAGAGGAGAAGGACGGCCGCGGCAAAATGTCGTACCTGCAGAAGTACTACCACAAGGGCGCCTTCTACAGCGACGAGGCCAAGGCGTATGGGCTCGACAAGCGTGATATCATGGGCATGCGGATCGCGGACGACATTAAGGACCGGAGCGCGCTGCCTGAGTACTTGCAGAAACGCGATATGACGAAGCTGGGCAGGAAGGGTGCGTCGAAGTACAAGGACCTTAAGAGCGAGGACACGGGACGTTGGGGAGATTTTGAAGATCACCGCGGCCGCAACCGGAGGGACGGATTCGATAGGTACGGCGTCGACGAGCGGTTCCAGCCTGACGATCGAAGCGGAAAGGGGGCCAATGCGATCCCCTTGGGCGACCGTCCGAGAAGGGACACGGAGAGGGATAGAGATGGCGACAGGTACCGTTCTCGGGACGACTACCGTCGCAGAGACAGGTCAAGATCCAGGTCGAGGTCGCCGCGGAGAGACTCGCGAGATGGTTACAGGGACAGGCGTAAACGCAGCCCATCCCGCGAGAGATACGACAGTGACAAGAGGCGGCGCGTGGATTCAAGATGAGGCCGTCTATCAAATTGTATTAGAGTGTATCCTAATCAGGCTCGTCATGAGCGATGCTGAATATACCCAAACTCCTAACGAAACCTTGCCAACCGTCATACACGTTGAAGCATCATTCACGTTCATACTCAGATCTTCTTGACCTCTACACGCGCACGGTCGAATATGCTGTGGCTCACCACGGCGTCTGACTGAGTTTCGATCTTCGGCGGGAACAGCGTCATTCGGGCGTACGTGCCTGCGCCCCTCCTCTTCGACAGGTAGCCCGGATTGATTACGAGTACACTCTCAACGACCTGGAAGATGTGAGCGAGAGGAATGTATGGGCTTTCACAGACTAGAACGTACCTTTGCGAATGGCGGGAGGAAACTGGGAACGATGAGCACATCGGGTCGAACGTTGACCATCTCGCCGAGTTTCAGATAGCTGAGATCCAGCATGGCACCGGGCGGCATACCCTCCTGCGTGCCAGTCTTCGGGAGCTTTTGGCGATCTGTGGGGGGAAAGAGCGGGAAGAAATGCCTCTGCTCTAGCAAATGCCGGGAAAGCCTTGATAGCGGGTTGCTGTCTGACGGACGAGCGACTAGCTCCTCGTGCTTCAACTGCCACAGGATGTCCTGCGAGGAAACGCCCATGACCATCTCGTTGATGGACAAGGTCATCGGGTTGGTGACGAATCTCGCCGTCTTGGGCAAACCGAGCTCCTTCTTCAAGACGGAGTCTTGGGGCCAGGAGACGTGCTTGTCAATGATGTCGCGCACTGAGGGGATGAGGAGAATGGTGATGCTGGGGTTGGCGGAAACAAGACGGTTGAGGGCGGGGGAGAACAGGTATTTGAACACCGTTGACATCGTCGCAGTATCTGGGTCAATGACGGCTTCCTCGGGCAAGTCGAAGTCTCCAATAGCTATCGAGGGATGTTCGCTGTCGATGAACGGTCCAGTCAGCACGAGGGCATCCGCATACGTGCTCGCTGCCTGGTCGCACAAGGCATGCAGAGGCTCGAAGTCGAGGTTATCGTCAGCGGTGTACGGCCCAGAGGCGTAGATGATGTTCAAAGGAGCAGGATCCGAGTCAGTGTCCATGGCATCCGGGTCTCCTCGTAGCTTTTCGCGGTGCGCGGCTAATGCGGCCGGTGTTGATGCAGCGTTCGGAAGCAGAGGCACCTCAAGAACCTCTTCGACGACGAATTCGTTGCCGGATGTGTTAATGCCCTTCAACGCCACAATCTGGCCCGGGAAGAAGCTGTACCCCTTATTTCCCATGTTCAGAGACACCCTTTGACCTCCGCCCATCCGTCTCGACAGCTCCAAGACCAGAGATGCTGCGTTAAGTTTTCCCTCTGGCGCATCCGAAGCAATACGGCCGACAGCAATCACTGCCGTGGTGCTCTGGTACGCTGCGTTTCCGAATTCCGAGAGGTCAAGCTTGTGGTAATCCTGAACGATGTGCATGAACTCGTCTATCCTATCATCGAGAATCTCGGATGCTTCAGAGAGCTTCATGGACAGGGGTTTATATGCAAGCTTCTTTTGGTCTGATGCGGCCGTCAACTTAATGCGCGGTTCGGGGTAGGGGCAAATCGGGGCTTCGGGTGTGCTGAGGTGATCGTTCAGAACTTCAATAGTATCGCCGGCGTTCTGTCGGTCGTTGAAGGAGCTTGGTCTGGTATATGTGTCAGTTGCGACTCGCAGCGACTTCCTCCGACTGCCACTTACGGTTGCATGGCGCCTAGCTCATCCATCTTCGAAGCCCCCTTGTAGTCTGGTGAACTAGATGGGATCTCTGCCTTGACCCTTGACATAGTCGGAGTTTCGTGCGCCTTCTTGCGCAAGCTGTTTGGCTTGTTCAGTCTGCCCGAGGACGGCGTGCTGGGGACCAGACCATCCAGCATGCCGAAAACATCACCGCCTCTCGCGCGCGGGGTAGCATGGCTGCGCTTTTCGGTCTTGATATGCGTTTGTTGCTTGTTCGCCTTCTCCAATGCATCCTGCAGATCCTTCTTGAAGTTGCGAATATGGTTGAGCTGGGGGTTCATGGCGTCCATGTCCATCTTGATGCAGAACGACTCCCATTTGTAGAACAGATCCTCCGCCGAGATCTCATGCAGGCGCACGATGGACTGCAATTCGGCGAGAACATCGGGCTCGAGGCCCTTGTCACCCGTGGTGAAGAACTCCTTGAGCTCAGATTCGGCCATGATTTCGGTGGTGATCTTTCGCAGGCTGTGGTACGGAGTGGATGTCTCTCAATTGAGTCTTGAGGTGGAAGAAGCAGATATTCTTAGAAGACGCGTCCGGCGCGTCCCCGGCAGGGGTAGCGCGTAAAGTGCAGCTTGGTGGGTTGGTGGGGTTCACAGTACACAATCGCCACGCGCACTGTCTTTGAAGTATTGCTCGATTTCTCGCTACCTAGAGACAGACATCTTGCACCCTACGGTGCTTAAGCACAAAACATCCAGTTCTGACACACGAGGGCCAGAGAAATTTATGGCTGAGTTTGTGGCAGGCTTGTATTACGTTTAGCCTGTCTAATGATCCCTGACCAACGCCCGACCCGATGAAATACAGCATGAGCCGCACCGCAGGGTAGTGAGCCCGAACAACTATTACAATGCTGTTAATGGAAAGTCTATGTTACAACATGCGTCGCCAATTTGTGGCAACCGCGCCATCTTCGCTCGTGAATATGAAAATCGTGAAATCTTGAAACACATCTCACTTCGCCATCACATCAACGTATCGGCCACCCCTCTTACCCTTCTTGGCCCCAGCTTTACGCGGTCCAGCAGCGCCAAGCAAGTCATCAATACTACTAGCGTTGCTCAAGCTGGTGGCTGGTCGGCTCGGTGGTGCACTGAGAGGACCACCCGCCGCGCTCGTGTTTGATACTGAGCGGGCCATGCCAGGCGGGTGAGGTCCCGGGGGAGCAACACCAAGGCTCTCTTGGGAGGGCGCCTTGGCAAGTTCTGGAGCCTGCGGTCCTCCCGGGCTCCCGGCGGGGCCCCCGGGAGGTGCACTTGCTCGACCCATAGGTGGTGTCATAATGCGAGGGGGAGGCGGTGTTCCCGTGACAGACCGAGCTCCCTTTGGCGGTGGCGGCGTCGCCGTCTTCGCCTGGGTTTGTTCCGCACCCGCAGCTTTGTTGATCCACCGCTTCAAATCGGGGTCATACACAAAGTTGTTGGCTTCTCCAAGCTTAGCTTTGATCGGCTTATTGGGTTGCGACATATCGGGGGCCGCCTCCTTCTTGCCTCCAAACCAGCTACTGAAGCCCCAGCCCTTCTTCTGCTGCTGCTGTGCCGCTGCGGCTCGTTTAGCTACACAAAACGGTCAGTCATTCCCTCTTTCAAATTCAATGTTTTAGACTTACCATCTTCTTCAGCTGCTTTCTTGAACATTTCCTCATTCTCCTTATCTTTATCCGACTTGCTCTTGTCTTGGGGCTTAAGGGCCTTGAGAGCAGGGATGTCGTCATCGTCATCGTCGTCCATGAAACTCTTTGGCTTTCGCTTTGGCTCCGTGGGCTCGTCATCCGCTTCGGGTTCAGGATTATATGACGGCGGTTCGTAGCCGTAGGGTTCGTAAGTGGGAGGCTCGTAGCCGCCAGAGCTAGGGCCATCTTGAGGTTGGGATGCGGGCTCCTGGCTAGGCGTCATGGAAGGAGGTTCATAGCCATAGGAAGGCGGCTGGTATCCCACATTGGACGACTCATTGGGATCCTGAGTGGTGTTCTGGGTCTCGACTTCCACGGAAGGAATTGTGGACGGTTGGCTCGCGCCGTAAGGCTCGTACGGCGAGCCTGCAGGCGGCTGTGCTGGCGAAAGTGGACTGGCTCCGGGCTGAACAGCTGGGTAGGTTTCCTGTGCAAGATTGGAAGTAGAAGGCGTATATCCGCTGTTGAAATAGCCAGGCTGCGAGTCCACCGAGGTGCGAGGTTCGTAGGGGCTTCGGGGAAGTTCATTTGATGAGCGTCCAACTGAGGCAGGCGCTGCCGGCATGTATGAACCGGGCTCGTAAGGACTCCGGGAAAACTCATTCGACGATCTGCCAGCGGAGGCGGGTGCGGGCATGTATCCCGCACTTGGCTCATACGGGCTGCGAGAAAGTTCATTTGAGGAGCGTCCCGCTGAGGCAGGAGCAGGGGTGTATCCAGACCCTGGCTCGTAGGAGCTGGACAGGCCAGTCGCTTGTGAGGAGGCTGGTGCATATCGAGACGCAGCTCTGGTGACCGGTATAGGAACTGCCGCAGGTGGCGAACCAACAGCGAAGCCTGGGGTAGCCCCTTGGTAGATAGGTTCGAAATTCGATACCGAAGGAGACCGGCTGATGGTGGGTGTACCACCTGCGAGCCGAGCGAAAGGTCCAGACTCAACGCCACCTTCAGCAGAGACGCCGGCTGCAGCGTTGTCGTTCTCATCGCCCGCAACAAATTTGTTGAAACGACTCCAGACCGAGTCTGATACCTTATTCATGCTAGGCTTCGAAATCCAAGAGGATGACTCTTCCTTAGGAGCCTGTTTGAGTCTTGCCCGAAGGTTCTCCACGGCGGTTTCCAAAATCGGATGGTAGTACGGAGACCTCTTGGTCTGAGCCGTGATTGAGCCAGCAATCGCCTCACAGTAAAGGAGAGCCTTGTCGCGCAGACCATATTCGGCCAGTGTCATGGCATGTTGAAGCTTATACGCGGCCAAGTGTGGCACGCCAGCAGACAGGGCTGAAGTACCTGAAAGGGAGAGGCCGAATTCGTATACTTCGCTCAGCAGTAAGGCTTCGGTTTCCTTGGCGAATTGCTCGCCCTGAGTCTTGTGATCAGCACCAACAAGAACAAAGTTGGATGTCAAGTCATCCAGGCCTCCAAAGACGGTCGCTGTCCTGGCAAACAGGAAGCAAATATGGGCCGCCTCCGCTCGTCCGTACGAGGACAATAGGTTGCCGAGTGCATTCAACGCGCGTACGTCCTCCGTGCTTCTGTTGCTAAGCACCAGCCCCAAAGTCTCCCGCCACTTATCAAGTCCCTCAGTCGCGTCCTTGGAGGGACCCGTCACGGACGTGGTGTTCACAAGCTGGAATCCAGCTCGGGCATGGGCAGGGACAAGCTCATCAACGCAATCGTCGTAATTTCCGGATAAGACCTTGTAAAGGGCAGCGATGGACTCGTTGTTGTGGCCGGCATAGTTGACCTCCGTCCTCACAAACTCCTGCGCGACGCGCTTGTAAAGATCCGGAGACACGGTGTTGGAAATCAACATCGCATGACCCCAGAGCCTCTTGTCGACGGCAGCCCAGACGGCCTTCTCGCGATCACCGATTAAAAGGTGTTTGCGAATCTGATCCATCGTTGACGAATCGACAGCATCCGCCTTCATTTGGGTGACATGAGACTCCTGGAGCGCTTCTGCGCTGATGGCGGCGCCGTAACCCGGAGTGGGCTCGCCCTCCTCGAGAGTAAGACCAGGAGCGAGCACATCCCTGACAGCTTTTTCGACTGCAGCGGTGCCTTCCAGGACGCCGTCAAACTCGATGAAGACTCTCAGAATTTTCCAAAGCAGCACTCTTTCAACCGCGCGCTTGTGCTCATGAGAGAGCTGAGTTTGGAAGGAGATGTCAGGCAGGTCCCTTTCCAATGCTTCGATACCTGAGGTCAGCCATGCGACGGTATCTTTCTTCTTTGACTTTCCTTTGAGAGGTCCAGGGAACTTTGCGAGTCGTTCCTCCAAAGGCTGAATGTCCTTAACATGCTTGACGTGAACTTCTCCGGGGCTGCGGATGATCATCGGAGCTGCCTGGCCAATGCCATAACGGGGAACATTCTTAGGGAACGAAGTAATGATCGTTCCGCCAACGCCCCAGGAGATGATCGGGGCACCCTTCCATCGTTGTAAGGGGTCATCTTGACGGCCATCTGTCGGTGCAACGAAGTTGAGACTCTGTGACGGACCTCGCGGGCGGGTGGCGGGAGCGTGAGTCGGCTGGAAAGACCTCGTAGCCCGAGGAGAAGTAGGACTATGTACTGAAGATGGACGAGCAACCGGTTGAGAGGATGGACGTCCATGAGAAGAGCCTGGAGATTGCGTTTGAGATCGCGGTGGGGGAGCGAATCTGTTCTCAGGCGGCGAATCGTGCGACGCGGCTTGCGGCAGGTATGTGGATGTAGATCTCTTCGATGGCGATAGAGTAGAGTGCATGGGAGGGCCATGAGCGAGAGGTGGTGGCGTCTGCCTCGCTGCCATTGGCGGTGCTGGGCTGTAGCGAGACTCGGGAGGCACACCGTTCCCAGGGTGACCCAACTGAGCTGACTTGGAATCGTCCTCCTCGTCCACCTCTCGAGTGACTGGCAGTGATGGCACTCTAGTGATCCTGGGCTCGAGACTGTAGCTTGATCTGCGGTCGACCTGGTGGTCGCCATTCGCGGCGCCCGCCTCACCACGCGAGACCTCAAAATGCGCCAAAGGGCTTGACGTTCTAGGCAAGTGTGGCAACACCGCGGGGGGAGCCGAGTGGAAAGCAGGCACCGGCGGCCTGGCGCCTGCCGGCGCAGGAGAGTATCTGCTAGACGACACCGGACGAGTGACTCCATTGGCAGCTCCGGGAGGGGCCGGCGAGTACCTGGCGTTACTCGGGACACCAGGGGCCTGCTGTTGAGCCGGCTGCGGCGCGTAAGGATTAGGACGTTCGCCTAGAACAAGATTCGGAATTCCTCCTGATGCTGAACGCGACATGTCTGGAGTGTCTGGCGATACCATAGGTGGAGACAAAGGCGATGGTGCAAGACGAGACTGCGAAGGAGGGCCTAGAGGTGCTGGGGGACCAGTTTGAGTTGGCGAAGGGATTCGATGGCTCTGCCTGGAAGCAGACCGAGGCTTCGATGTCATGGGCAGATCCTCAAAGAAGCTGTCCTTGTTGCGTAGTACTTGCGGAGGCTTCGCGCCGGCAGGGGGCTGCTGAGGGTGATTTGATGTTGGGGGAGACATGTTTGAGGCAGCTCCTGGAGGAGGAGGGGTAGGCGCGTGCATACTAGAGCTTCTCGGAGGAGGAGCCATCGTAGGGCCCGTTGCAGGGCTTCGCGGGACTTGCTGGGTACTGGATCGCTTTTTAGGAACGACAACCTCCATGGGGAGATCATACGGCGACTGGTAACCACCCTTGGATTGAGCCGCAAAGCTCTGGGTCTTGGGGGGCTCAGGTCTCAGCTGCTGCTGTGCTGGATAAGGGGCGGCTGACTGGGGGCGTTGGTCAGCGAAAGGAGTCGGGGTAAATGGCGAAGCGCTTGGCTGGGACTGATAAGCCGGGGTATAGGATGAAGCAGATCGTTGAGGAACGGAAGGCCCTTGAGGCGTGTAGCGTCCCTGTACGCCAGTAGACTGAGCCTGAGCGGGTGCAGGAGCAGGAGCAGCGGCTTGCGGTTCATCGTCGTCCTCGAGGAAGCCCTCATCATCGCTGCCGAAAAACGCCGAGGGGTCAACAGGTTGGCCTTCGCCTGACTGTTCGGGCGTGTCATCAAGCAGGAAATCATCCTCGTCGTCGTCTGCGAATGCTTGCTCCCATTTTGCTGCCAGTTCGTCGGTAGGCTTGGCTTCGGCATCATCAACTTGTGTGGTGTCAGGCTGGGAAGCGTCCTGCGCAGGTGGTTCTGCCGTTGTGCCGTTCAGGCCTTCCGTCGGCTGAGTCGCGTCATGCGCTCCCTCATCCTCGTCCTCCTCCAGCATGTCGTCAAGAGTGTCCGTTCTGGATAGGTTCGAATTACCAAGAGCGCCCAGGACCTGCATGGTGGATTTGCGCTCCAGAGGCTGCTTGCCGCCGAAGTCGGGAAAGTCATCGTCATTCAAGCTCTGGATTTGGCTGAAGAAGTCATCGTCACCAGTCGCCTCGTCGCCAAAACCGTTCAATGGCTGCCCGCTTTGGGTGCTGTCATCGTTCGTCTCCGTTTGAGAAATGAGAGGAATGCCTTCCTCGTACCGCGAGCTCAAGTCTTCCTGTTCGCTGAAAGTCACATCGCGGCCGACATATTGCTGACTAGCCTCAGTTTCGTCACCAAACCCGGAGTCAAATCCAGTAGCAGCATTGTTTGCTTCTTGATCTCCGATAAAATCGTGGTGGTCAGAGGTGTTATCGATTTCGTTCATGAGGTCCTCGGCTTGGTTTGACGGCAATGGGTGTTCCTCACCCGGGGCAGGAACGACTGGCGGCACTGGAGGGAAGGAGTTTGTTCTGTCGTTCGGGGGCATGAATTTGAATGGATCGGTGTCAGTTCGGGGGAGAGTCCATTCCGAATCGTGGTCGTCGTCCCAATTAACTTCGTGTGCGACAGTTCGAGTGAAGGAATCGTTGCTTGTATGACCCAAGGTAGGACCGGCAGATTTCGCATTATCGGCGGGGGCATCGTCTTCGGCTGTGGTCTCCTGGGTAGTGGGAGCTGGTGCTGACACCGGTTCGAGGGCTTCAGCATCAGCGTGAGCTGTCTCGGGTGCTTCCTTGGGTTGGACCGCTGCCGGGTGATCAAAGACTGGCCAGTCGTCGGCTGCGTCTTGGCCAGCGTCTTCTACCAGCCATGGGTCGGTGTCTTTCTCTGACTTATCCTCCAGCGAAGGTGTTTTATGCGATCCCAAAGGAAACTCGAAGTCTTGGGTGGTTTGTTGGGCGGGAGCAAGCGCTGGTGAAGCATCGAGATTTGCGCTCGGAAGAGCTGCGGGTTCAGCGGAGGTATCGCCAGTTGCAGCATTGGGCATGAAAGCCGGATGCCACGAGGCGTTGGCGGTCTCGACGGTCATGGTGATGGTCTAATTAGGTCGAGTCATACGGGTTCGTGTAGCGGCGAGTTCAAAGGCTGGAGAACAACTATGTCGAGATTGTCAGCACCAGACGAGACGAAAACGCGAGTCCAGGGGTCTAGCGTGGCTCAACGCGACAGCCCTGAGGGGATTGAGATTGAGGGCCTCGAGCAGAAGGCAGCAAGGAGAGGCAACGTACATGTACAGTAAGAAGCAGAAGTCTAGATAGAATACACAACGACGAACTCCATGCTGGACTTCACAGTTTGGTGGGTCGAAGGCGAAGATTAAGGTGTCAAGGTGTTTTGCTCGACGGACAAAGTGTAATGAGGTGGCCCAAGGACCTATGTACAACTTGCAAGCTGGCAGGTACGATAGAGGTATGGTGTGTCATGGTACTTCTGCCATGTACCTTGTTGCTTCAGTGTCATCCTTCTGCGACGGCACGCTACGGGTTGCTGCGACAGGGTCCCAAAAAAATTCACACGAGTCTCTTTGGAATGGGTCTGACGGTCGTCCAGTCAGAGGTCCAGATTTTGGCCGATTCCGTCATTCCGTGTCCAAATAGGGGCGTTCGACGGCGCACGGTGCACAGGCTTCCGCCGATGGTTTGCGACACGGCGCAGAGGATATTCCGGATTCTGCGGCAGACCGGGACCTACGTCCAATATCCGTAGAGGTAGGTATCAATATGATGCATGTACAAAGTAACGAGGCCGGCCTGAAATGATGTTAAAAATGAAAAAGACCTCTTGGCCTCTCAGTGGTTTCTCGCCCTTCAGAAAACGGGCACAAGATAAGACATCCTCTTCTGAGGTACAACATGTCTCTAACATGGCGGTAACTTATTCCAAGGCCTTTCAGGTTGAATAAGGTACTTCGAGATGCAGATAAACTAGGGAGCTATGCGTCAGAATAAGGCACCTCAGAAAAAGAAACGACCCCAAGCTAGTCAATAATAGACAGCGGGAGAACAATTAATGAGGACAGATCTCACTGACTTGCAGGTGAGAGAGAATCCAAGCCACATATCAACACGGGTTCTTCGGAAGCTAGGCACCTAGATAGCTCCCTCAACTTCCAGCTTCTCGGTGTCCGCGCGTGAGAGCTTCCCGTCCATTAGCTGCACCGCCGCCATCCGACCCAAGCCCCGCCTGACCCGACGCCCTCACAGCACCCACGCTGCCCTTACACTTCACTAAAGGCCACGCGGCTGCCTCCGTCACATAAAGTGGCACCCTGTAGCACCCCCTGGGATGCCGCATTGTGGTGGCACTGACACACTGAATAGCATTCCTACCCAATTGGACCGCCTCAGCCTTTCCAGGCGACATCATCCAAGCCTCCTGGTCTCTCGGCATAGCTGGCGTCCAGTGGTTTACTTGTTCAAAACTCCACGACTCAAACTGTTCATTTTTTGCGCCTCAAAACTGCCGCGCTTCCAACTACGTGATCTGGCCATCACTGCGCAAAATTCCCTCCCCTAACTCGTCGAGCGCACGCGCTGCTTCCTACCTACCGAAACGCCTACAGCTATCCGATGCAGATCCCCGAGCAACAGCACAGGCACCGACGACCGAACTTTATCACCACTTCCGCCTCCGCGGAATTTTCGTAAAGAGTTGCTCGTTGCATACATACACGCACTCGCACTCCCAATGCGGGCGGGATGCCTTCTCCAACTTCATACCGTTCCGCGGACCCGCCAGGCTCCCCAGCGAATGATTCCGATTCAGACCTCGATCTCGACATCCAGGAGCTCGATCCTGCGACTACCACCACTCACCGCAGCCCTGGACTCATCCGCACCGACCGACAGACCGCCGAGCATCGATCGCCACGTATAGCACTGCGAAATCTACGTATGGGGGGCTCACGTCGGGCTGGGCAGAGGGCCAAGGGATATGGAGAACTAGGTCAGAACCGTGACGGCGATACCGAGGACTCTGAAGCCCTCCTCGGCGGAACCGGAGGCTCCTCGTCACGATATAGGGATGGAAATGCTGGGTCCGACGATGACGACTCCCACGATTCCCCTTTGCTCCCGGGCGGGTCGCCAGCGAGGCGCCGTTCATTTGCTGGTGACAGGTTCGAACGCCTCACCTCCAGTTTACGACTGCCTAGCTTCATGTCGAACTCAGGGGCACAGCAAGCAAAGGCCGACGATGACCAAGATCAGGACGAGGACGACCCCTCTGCCTCCCGCCATGTCGCAGTAGGGTCTTCTCAGTCAACGAGATTCCCTCCCAACCTCATCTCCAATGCCAAGTACACGGCGCTGTCGTTTCTGCCCGTAACGCTCTATAACGAATTCTCCTTCTTCTTCAACATGTACTTTTTGCTGGTCGCTTTGTCGCAGGCCATTCCAGCTCTACGAATCGGTTACCTAACGACGTACGTTGCGCCGTTGGCGTTTGTCTTGTTTATTACCATGGGAAAGGAGGCATACGACGACATTGAAAGACGGCGGAGAGATAACGAGGCCAATGCCGAGGAATACACGATCCTCATGTTCGACGAACCAGGCCGTGGCTTTGGCTCCCAGCGGTCGCATAAGAGGTTGAAATCGGATTCGATCAGAAGAGGCAAGAACTCGGCGAACCGCGACAGACTTTCGGATATTCAGGAAGAGGAGGAGCGCGCAGAAGGAGACGGCGGACAGCCCCCGCCGTCATCATCTGTCCGCGAAGTTAGCCGGAAATCCCGCGACCTCAAAGTTGGTGATGTCCTCAAGCTGAGCAAGGGCCAGAGAGTTCCCTCCGATGTCGTCATTTTGAAGTGCATCACTTCGGAATCCAGCACCGCAGCCCCAGTTATGGAGACCATTGCGGAGGAGGAGTCTTTGCTTGTCGACACAGACGATGAAGAGCACAAGAGCGCGCCAGAACCGAAGGGCAAAGAAGCTGAAAAGAGCGAGAGTGGAGGTGGAGCAGCTGGCGAAACGTTCATCAGAACCGATCAGCTTGACGGTGAGACGGACTGGAAACTGCGTTTGGCGTCACCTCTTTCGCAGACTTTGGCGACCGAAGAGTTTGTTCGGCTTCGCGTTACGGGAGGCAAGCCTGACAGAAAGGTCAACGAGTTCTTGGGCACCGTCGAACTATTGCCGACCAGGAGGGACGCACAGAGCCAACAAGGTGACTTGAATAGCGAAGAAGGAACCTCCGCACCTTTGTCAATCGACAATACGGCTTGGGCGAACACTGTCATTGCGTCCAACGCGACAACTCTGGCGGTCATTATGTACACCGGCCCCCAAACGAGATCGGCGCTTTCCACTGCCCCCTCTCGATCTAAGACCGGTCTCTTGGAGTACGAAATCAACTCGCTCACCAAGATTCTCTGTGCTCTGACACTGGCGCTTTCGATCATCTTGGTGGCCTTGGAGGGCTTCTCAAACACCGAAGGCAATGTGTGGTACATCAAGATCATGAGGTTTTTGGTTCTCTTCTCTACCATTGTACCCATCAGCTTGCGCGTCAACCTGGACATGGGCAAGAGTGCCTACTCCTGGTTTATTCAACGAGACCCCGGTATTCCTGGAGCTGTTGTCCGGACGAGCACAATCCCCGAGGATCTGGGCAGAATTGAGTATCTGCTTAGTGACAAGACGGGCACATTGACTCAAAACGAAATGGAGATGAGAAAGATACACGTAGGCACGGTCTCGTACGCCAACGAGGCCATGGACGAGGTCAACTCGTATGTTAAACAGGCTTTCCACATTCAACCCACTACGGATCCGGCGACACATACAGCTTTGATCACGCCTTCTTCTACAGTCTCTAGCTCTGCAAACGTGGGCGCTACCCGTACGAGGAGAGAAATTGGTTCCCGTGTCAGAGACGTTGTTCTGGCACTGGCTCTATGCCACAATGTTACGCCAACTACAGAAGAGGAGGACGGCAAGACGGTTGTGTCGTACCAAGCGTCATCGCCTGATGAGATTGCCATTGTCCGTTGGACCGAATCTGTTGGCCTTCGCCTGGCGCACCGAGATCGTAAGGGCATGGTTCTCGAGTCAACGGACACCGGCCGTGAGGTTGTCCGCGTGCGCATCATGGATGTCTTCCCGTTCACTTCCGAGGGAAAACGCATGGGTATCATTGTCCAGTTTTTCGACCACAGTCAGTCTACTCCGCCCAACCTCGCGAACAGCGAGATCTGGTTCTATCAGAAGGGCGCCGATACGGTCATGAGCGCCATCGTGGCCGAGAATGACTGGTTGGACGAGGAAACCGCCAATATGGCCCGTGAGGGTCTGCGTACACTCGTGGTCGGACGGAAGCGTTTGTCGTACCAGCAGTACCAAGAGTTCTCCTCGAGCTACCAAGCAGCTTCTTTGGCTATCACTGGACGTGACGCTGGCATGCAACGAGTTGTTTCCCATCATCTCGAGCGCGATCTGGAGCTTCTTGGTGTCACCGGTGTTGAGGACAAGCTGCAAAAGGACGTCAAGCCATCCTTGGAGTTGTTGAGGAACGCCGGCATCAAGATCTGGATGTTGACTGGTGACAAGGTCGAAACAGCTCGCTGTGTTGCCGTCAGCTCCAAGTTGGTCGCTCGAGGCCAGTACATCTACACGGTTGCCAAACTCAAGAAGAAAGACAATGCCCAAGACCACCTTGACTTCCTCCGCGGAAAGACTGATTCATGCCTTCTCATCGATGGCGAAAGTCTGGCACTATTCCTCACCCACTTCCGAATCGACTTCGTGTCTGTCGCCGTTCAACTGCCCACTGTCGTCGCTTGTCGATGCTCGCCGACACAAAAGGCGGAAATCGCCAAGCTGATCAAGGAATACACCAAGAAGAGAGTCTGCTGTATCGGAGATGGTGGCAACGATGTTTCCATGATTCAGGCGGCAGATGTCGGTGTCGGTATCGTAGGCAAGGAGGGTCGACAAGCCAGTTTGGCGGCCGACTTCTCTATCGAGCAATTTTTCCACCTGACTAAGCTCCTCGTCTGGCACGGCCGTAACAGTTACAAGCGGAGTGCTAAGCTGGCTCAGTTTGTCATTCATCGTGGCTTGATCATCGCTGTGTGCCAGACGATGTACAGCATTGCCATCAAGTTCGAACCGGAAGGTCTTTACAAGGTAAGTTGTTTTCTGTCCAGTGTCGCCCCGAATGTATCTGACTGTCGCAGGACTGGCTTCTTGTGGGATACGCGACAATGTACACAGCATTCCCCGTTCTTTCCCTCGTCCTCGACAAGGATGTCGATGAGAACCTCGCAAACCTCTACCCTGAATTGTACAAGGAGCTCACGTCCGGCCGGTCGCTGTCTTACCGCACCTTCTTCGTTTGGGTGCTGGTCTCGATCTACCAGGGCTGCACCATCCAAGGTCTCTCTCAGATCCTCACAGAAGTCGACGGTCCCAAGATGGTCGCTGTCTCGTACACCGTCTTGGTCCTGAACGAACTGCTCATGGTCGCAATTGAGATTACCACGTGGCACCCACTCATGATTCTCTCCATCGTCGGCACATTCTTGGCATATGTTGCTTCGGTGCCATTCCTCGGCGGGTACTTCGACCTCCAATTCATCATCACATTGTAAGTCCGTCCTATTTTCCTCGGTTGAACTATCACGGCTAACCGTATATAAGGGGATTTGTCTGGCGTGTTCTCGCCATCGGGGCGATATCTCTCATTCCCCCCTATGCGGTCAAGCTGATCAGGAGGACGATGAAGCCGCCCTCGTACAGAAAAGTACAGAGCACGTAAAGGACAACATCAGATTTGTTCGGGTTTTTTTTCTTCTTATTGTATCTTAGGAACTCTTCCGGCGTTGGGGACAGGGCACGAGCCGCAGCCAGAAAGGGAGGCTGCGTTAGCATCATTACTGGAGTTGACGGCCGGGATGTTTATATTTCTATCTTGTACAGCACATTATCTTCGGTTTGGATGGACATCAGGCCCGAAATTAGACAGCGCTATCGAATATCCCTGTTTTCTCCTTGGGCACGTCTTCGCGTTCCTGTTGATACATCTACCGTACATGCCATGACCCTGGTGTTCTACATATCTTCCAATCCTCTCATCCTGGATACATCGTACAATTACAACTTGAGTACAATCCAATTCTTCAACAGCTCAGGATTGGACCTCTGCAACGCCCCCAGCATCCCACCAACAGGGCCCTGCAGCTGCCCGCCGTCGCGCCAGATCTTGGGCCCCGCGTACGCCTGCACGAAGCCCTCGGGCCCGGAGACGACAAACACGTTCTTGCCCACAGCGACGTCCTCCTTGGCAACGCATCCGCAGTCCTGCTCCCTTCTGAAGAGGAATTTCTTCCCGGCGTTCGGGGCGCCGTCGACCATGCCCAGATGCGCCGTTTGCGAATGGAACTTGCAGCCCGCCGTCTCCACCGCCGCGGGCGCAAAGTCTGCGGGAAGTGAGAGGGCCGCAGCTAGGTCACGTTCCTCGACGCGCGTCCCTTCCTGGTCGACCACGACGCGGACGTCGAGCTTATCGCCGTACTTCTCCTTCAAGGCGAGTAAGTCCCTAGCAACAGGCGACGCGTGCCCTCGCTCCGCAGAAAGCGTCTCGGCCCGGATCCCCTCCTCCTTCGCGCCCCTCGCAAAAGGATTCCAACTCCACGAGGCCTTCTTCTCCTCCTTCCTCGCCGGCCCCTCCAACCTCTGCACCTCCTCCCGGCTCCTCACGGCCCAGAAGACCGTCACGTCGACCGCCCGCGGCAGCACGGCACGCGCGGCCTGCAGCGCGCTCGCGACGCCCGTCCCGCCCGCCAGGAACACGACCCGCCCGCCGGCCCCGCCGAGCCGGCTGCTCAGGTCGAACTCCCCGTGCGGCCCGCGGATCTCGACCGTGTCGCCGGGGGCCAGCCCGCTCAGGTACGTCGAGACCTCGCCGCCGCGGAGCGCGCGGACGTACAGCCTCAGCGCGTCGTCGGCGGGGTTCGGGTCTGCCGCCGGGTTGGGCGGGAGCGGGGTGTACTCGCGGGCGACCTGGATCTGCGGCTGCTTCACCTCGACGCACCAGAGGTCGAAGAGGTCCCAGAGGGACGAGAGCGGGGCGACGGCGCCGCCTCGCGAGGTCGTCGGGGGTTTGAGCGTCAGGATGAAGGAGGTCGGGGAGACTTGCTCCTTGGAGGTGACGTCGAAGTGGACGAACTTGTGGGCGTTGGAGAGGATCGTGGCCTCGGTGGGGTCTGTTGGCGTCGAGGAGGGGAAGAGCCATTGGGAGTCCCATGCCACGCCGGCAGCCGCGAGGAGGAGGAGGAGGGGAACGTAGCGGGGTCTGATGAAGTTGCGGTTGCGGGTGGCTGTGGATTTGAGGCGGCGGGTGGTGGTTTGGGTGAGTTTGCGTGGCGGTTGTGAGCGGAAAGCCTCTGTTTCGGTTCGACTTCTTGGGCTTGAATAGTTTTTGCGCAGTGAATTATGAAAATTCCTTAAGTAGGCGGCTGTTGCACGCCGTAATGAGTGTGTCGCTGTGAAGTGCATTTGGGGATTCGAGGTGGTCTGAATGATTCCAGCCCGAAGGGCGCCGACAGCTATGGGAAAGACCATCGCCGCGCAGAGAAATATAGCCGACACGAGAGAATACTCCTGAATGTTTTGCCCTGATTTTTGTTGCTGCCACCAAAAACGTCAGTGTTGAAGATGGTGACATAGACGATGTCGAAAAGTCGAGGTTGAGTGGATTCACCAATTAGGAACGTTAGATACGGTCACGTGAGCGCCTCATCAACAGCAAGTAGCTACCACTTAAGTCTTATCAACATTCGATTCTTTTGCACCTATTGGTCTCATATCTTGTTGTCTGGTGAGGTTTTCTCAATGATTGAGAGATCATGTAATGGCGTAAATATGAAGCAGGAGGGATTTCAATCACAGATGATGAGATGACATGAAATACATTTCATGGTATGAGATGAGCCCTACTTGTGCTTGCAATGCCGTCCAGCACGTACTCCAAAATCTATATGTGTATGATACAGTGGCTCAAAAGTCCCTTCTCCTCTATTGTACAATAAGTCCCACAGACCCCCGATATCAAACTTCCCTTACAACCTCATGATCTTCCTATTCTGATCGATCCCTCCCCGGAACATGTCTACAATGACCCGCCCCCCAAGAACCGTCTCTTTCACAATCCCCTCGACATGCTTCGGCTCGACCCTCCCGTACCAAATTCCCATACCAGCAAGCGGGTGATCCTCGCCCTTCTCGGTCTTCAGACCGGGCGGGATATAAACGATGCAATTCCCGGCGAACTTGTGGCCGCCAATGTGACTTATCAGCCCAACCCTCGCCGACATCCCCCTCCCCTCAGGCGCCGCGATCCTCTCCCCGTCACCCTCGTCAACCTCGACCGGACCCCGCGAGACGCCGACGCCCAGCCCCTCAAACTGCCTCTCGAACTCGTCCCTGAGCACCGGCCCCATCACGCCGCAGCGCATGTCGCGCCCGCCGTGGCCGCAGACGAGCACCAGGACGTCCTCGACGTCCCTCACGCCGTACAGCAGGGACTGGTAGGCCTCCTTGCGGGTGAGCCTGTCGCGGTGGATGGGCGACAGGCCGTCGTGCATCTTGTGCAGCTTCTCGGGGAGGAGGTAGCCCTTGGCGAGGGCCTGCACGCTGTCGAAGCTCACGCGCGGCAGGAAGGGCACGTACTTGAAGCTGGGGAGGAGGTAGGCGCTCGTCGTCTGCAGCTCGCTCCGTTTCGGGACGGAGGAGGGGAAGGAGCTGTTCAGGACGGAGATGTTGTGCCATGGCTGGAAAGATGATTCATACAGTCAGCCCAAAGCGACTCACTTCCATAAGTTCGTCTCACTCTCATTTCCCAACTGTTCAAATGACCAGAGGCCATCCCACACGGAACCGAAAATGACGTCAAGAAACAAGAAGAAACTCACATCACTATACGTGCCCCCGCGCCCGAACAACTCCTTCAGATCGGCGGCGAGGTTGTCCCCGCTGTTCTCCTCCTCGATCCTCGAGGCCCAGTCGTCCTTGCCCGTACACACGAGCACCTGCTCGGCGTACGCCGACACGACACCGTTCAGGGGGCTCTTGAAGTCGATCGGCAGGCCCTCCGGCATCGCCGGCGTCTCGGCACACCCGCAGGTCGGAGACGGACACGTCGGGACGGTCTCGAACGGCGGCGGGGGCGGGGGCGGACGCGGCGTCGAGGGCTTCGCCGCGTATGCGCGCCGAGATGTGAAGACGGACGCCGAGTGCGCCAGGCGCGGGATCGCTCTCGCCGTGTATCCAAACATGGTAATCAGTGTGTGTATTACTTTGGGAATCCCCCAATTTGTTGCGCGACCTATCGCGGACCCCGGCTTTCAGATGACGGACGGGGGGTGCTGCGAAGGTGGGTTTCGAGACAGCAGCGAACCGAGAAGCCGAGCAATGGAATGGCGACTAATTACCAAGCGCCCGGACACGGAGGTAAATTGGTTTCGGAGCTCGGTGCGGAGCCCGGCGCCGAGAGCAGCGCCCGTAATGCTGACGCTGGGATTGGTGTAATGTTAGGTAATCCCTCGCACCTCACTGGTGACTTTACGGCGTTGCGCTTTGACCCGGCACCCGCGCGGGAAGAGATAAGTGAACCGCGAGAAAAAAAACAAAAACCGCTAGGCTGCTGTCGGCAATTGCGCCGGCCCCACCGGCAAACTCCCTCTCTCCCGTGCCCGAACTCCGCCGGGCGTGCCATCCAGGTCCTGCATTCCAGGGGTCGTTGGCAACCCGTTCGGAGCCGAACGAGCACTCAATCTGACAATGTGGAGTCACATCCGCGCCGTTCCTTCAACCATTGTTCACAGTGAGAAGATCTAGATTGTGTGGCATATTTGTTGTTCAGCTTGACCTGGGTAAGAAACAAGGTACACAGCGAATTCATAGCGTTGTGGCCTTCTTTCAGAGCGTCCGGAGGCTCGGCCAAGAATCATGATATTCGTCAAGAACGGGACAAGACTGTACGGCTTTCAGCATGCCAGCGGCAGATCACATGCCGAATGGTATTTCAGTCAAGAATATCCTCATCAAGTTGTCCAAGTTCCCTCCAGAAGCTTCTCATATCTAGGCGCCACCTCTCAATGACGAGGATCCTATATCATAGCAACACATATGCCCACTGGTACCAGTTGAGTCGAAGAAAAACGGACATCAACACCTCCATTATGGTTCTCCATCGCCCGTTCGTCCCAGGTCCTGAAAAGACTAGATAAGTTGAGAACTTCACCAACACTTCACATCATACTCGAGATCTACATTTCAAGTGGCAGACAATATATGCAAAACCACATGCTCGACGTCAGATTCGCACGTGAAGACAGAAAAGAAAGAAAAAAAAAAAACCCTCTCCCCTGCCCCCTGCCACGATCCGAACTCCGTCCCAACTTCCCCCCATGTCCATCACCATTCCAACCGGGCGCGTCGGAGCCGAAACGAAACCGCACATTTCGGACTTGAACACCACAAAGAGCAAAGCAACACCACAATTTGTGGAGACGGTCCGCCCGTTTTAAGAGTGACGGGACAAGGGAAGGGGAACGGGCGCGGCAGGGCGGGCGGCGGCGGGCGAACCGGCCGGTGCCGGGTGGTGGTGGTGGTCAGTGTCATCCCGTTAGCGGTCCCGGTCCCTTCCCGTTCCCCTGTCGAGCGAGATCCCGCGATTTACACTAAAAAAAAAACCGACGGCGCGAGATACCTAACAGATTTGTTGTTTGGCCTCTCGCGTTACAGATTGCAGCGCACATTTCCCCGGTGGTGATAGGATGAACATCCACTTTTTGCCATATTGTGTCATTGTCAGATCAGACAATAAGCAAGCCAACGAGCCGTATGCGCGCGAGTAAGCGCAGCGCAGCGGCAAGAGAGTCTCCACGGCGTCGGGGCCACGGCACGTCTGCAAAAGGCTTGGCTTTTTGCGAGAGCGATCGTCGCTCTCACTCCGTCGAGAGATATGCGATGGGCGGCGTGTGGTGTCATTCGCGATCCGGAGGAAGATTGTCCAAAGATGCCCCCCTTCTCATTCCGTCAGATCTAATCAGCTCGGCGAGGAGGGGGCCTGATTGAGGTACTTCTCTCCAAGACATTGAACATTTATCAAATAGGTAAACGGCACATGAGACAACGTGTTCAGAAGTACGTAGAGAAAAACTTGCTCATGAATCGCTCGCAGCACACACACACAGGAAGTATGCTTAATCCGGTAGGTAGGTACTAATCTCTGCAAATTCATAAAACAAACATCGTGAGTGAGGCTCTTGTCCGGAGGTGGGCAGCTAGGCCGCTTCCACGGACCACCGCCGGTATTAACCACCCACCCACCCACCCACTTACACAAACAGCCCACAGGTCCACGCCCACTAACCACCAGATTGACCCCCTCCCCCATTCCTCATCAACCCCCGTCCGTCCTCCTTCTTGTCTCCTGAGATGGTTCCAGCCTAGAGATTCGAGATGGTGTGGGTTTCATTGAAGCGATGAGGAGGGAAAGGGGCGGACCAAGAGTACCCAGAGACTAGAGCCAGCAAGGATCGCACACGGGGAAAATGAAATAAAATCAGAAGCCAAGACGAAGAGCCGGCGACCTGAAAGAGCGAATAAGGGAAGAAATCTCGCGAGAAAAGGATTCTTGCCCCTCCTCATCATCATCCTTCCCCTCTTGCTCCTCCTGCTCCTGCTCCTCCATAAACACCTAAAATTTTTACCGAGACAACACATTGCATGTCGTATCTGCTTTCGATGCAGCACCGCGAGATTGCGACTCCACGACCGGTGTGTGGCGCGCCACAGCGGTCCGAAGAGCCGAGGCCCTGAGCAGCGCACCGGTTCGGTTGGTTCATCGACGCCAAGCGAATCTCGACTCCAACAAAAGGACCAACGGGTTGCAGAAAAAAAAAAAGTCTGCAATCAACCCTTGTCAGGTCCGGTCCCCTTACCACCTCGTCCATGTGGCGAACGACGGTACAGTCCCAGGAACGACGAGGCCGGTGGTGGGACACATGGGAAACGGGTATCGGTTCCTACGGGATCGCTGCGCTTCTGCTGCGCTGCTGCTGCTGACATGACGACGTCTGATGGGCTGATGGGGCCTTGATATTTCACTTTCCACAAACGCGCCGTTGAGAAAGCCGAACCGATGCATGCCATATGCCGCATCCCGCATGCCAAATTATGCGACCTACCTGAGACATGCAGACCGATTCCCCTCCATTCTGCAATATCGCGGCACGAGAGGGCATTTGCCTTAAGACGCAAGGGGGGGTGTAGTCAGATCAGGAGCATCGCGGCCAAGTCATTCATTCATTGGTGGTGTGAATCAATCATTGATTGCCCCTCTTTCGTCTTCATCTTCATCTCTTGTTTGTTGCCTGGTTTTTTAGCTCCTAGGGCTGTTCTGTCTGTCTACCAATGCGGTAGGTACATGCCCGATTCTTCCATCTCCCCCCCCCTCTCGTCTCTCGCTTTCGCCTCGCGAGGCTCTCACTCCGTAGTATGTAACCTGTTTCCGACCGTTTTCTCATGTACAGGGTATAATGGTACATAGACAAGAGTCTAGGGAAGCGAACTGAGTATAAACAAAAACGGCTGCTTCATGATAATCTTATCATGCATGCTTTTTGAAAACCCCCAAGCATGTCCAAGACAGCGTGAACAAAAAGCAAAAATATGACAACGAACATGCGTGCCCCCAGACGCCATAAATGCAATGCATGACGGAAAAAAAGAAAAGAAACAAGTTTGGTGCCGAGGTAGCTGCTTCAGCTTCGTCCGTATACGAGATCCATACTTCTAGGGAACGTCGTGTCCATTGGATCGTCCAACTGCCAGCACCTCCCCATAGGCAGTATATTGTCTTTGCTTTCGTCCTCGTGACCAAACACCCTGCCGCCAGCTTGAGGCACTTCGGTGGGCAGGCGATCCTGCAGACCACGCAGCGCATCAAGACGCCTTTCCAATGCAGAATGATGCGCCTCAGCTTCTTTCCATACGGTGCTTGCAGCGTCGACGATGGCGCTTGCGACAGCAAGCCGATCCAGGAGAACCGAGATTTCGTCCAAGGACCCCTCCGCCGTCAGAACGTCAGCTGCCTCCAGGATGACGTAGCTCATGAATAGAGGCGGTGCACTGATCGGAGCCCGCCGGGCTTGAAGCAGCACCTCTAGCATGCCTGTAATGTCTAGAACATGCGTTGCCTCCTCGTGTATGCGTGTCAGGTACTGCAGCCGAATTCCCGTTGCGATTTCTTGTGTCGAGACGTGTCGATGGAGTTGTACCAACCCGTGGTGGTAAACCAGATGGATTGTGAGAAACGTGCTCAGAGTACCGTCTTGAGCGGCCAAATCCATGTTGCCCGGGTTGTACTGGAACCGTTCGGGAAGAGATCCACGCCAGCTGATCAGTCTCTCCGCCGTGCTTTCGACCATAGCAGCCACGTCCTTGGCCTTGGCCGAGTGCGGGCTGTGTGCGGTTCTGTACACATCAGACATGGCCTCCGCCCAAATGACCACAACCTGGATAAGGTACGACGAGAGGCACAATGGTTTCTCGAGGGACTTGGACGAGCGCAGTATTTCTGCCGCGAAGAGAGGTGCGTCGGACTCTTCCTGGCTCTCGAAAGTCTCGACCTGGCTTGGCAGGCGGATAAAAATGTCTTTGGTGTTCAATGTACTGAGTCGATTCGGGAACACTCCGTTGAGGCGCTCCAGCTCGAAACATGCCCAATACGTCCGCCTTCGGGTCTCTGCGTATCCGGCTCTCCTGAGATTGTATGGAAATGTCGTTAAGCCCGCTTCGACAGACTTCTCGAGTTCGAGGTTGAGCTGGAGCGATATTGCGGTCGAGATGGCTGTGCATAAGATCTCAATCGCCTCGGTTGGTTTGGAAACCGAAAGGAAGTACAGCGCTAGGAGAAGACGCGCCTGCACAAGTTGAATGCCGGTGGCGGCTCGTCGCTGTGCGTAGCTTACGATTTGGGCGTACTCATGGGCAATGGCCTTGGGCCCCCCTGACATGGCGACACCGACGGCGAGGATGCTATAGATGAGCATCCGGTCTTCTGGAGACTTGATATGAGCATTACCGGTCACCCAGGATTTGAACGCTGTTTCGGGCAAGAAACGAAGGGCCATGGTGCTGTCGGTGTGTACGAAGAAGGAGGAGATGATGGTGCTAATTGCTTCAGGGTCGGACACATACGGATCTGTTTGCCATGCTCGGCTGAGCACCTCCCCATGAAGGGGAGGGAGTTCAATAGGCTGACGATGCTGCCATGAGATGCTGGCCTTTGCCGCTTCGGGCGTACGATTCATCGACGACGGCGCGTTCGCCATGGGTGAATAAGAGTCGAAGCCCAGGCGCATCCTCTTGTGAGACATGGGCGGCTCTGGACTGGGCTGCCGTAGAGTAGTTCGAGGAGACACCGAGGCGCTGGAGTTGCTGCCAGGTCGGTGCAAATCGTTCGGGTTGGTCGGGCCTCCCAATCGCCGCATGTCTTCCGGCTCTGCGGGGGGCGTTGAAGAGGACGTGTTGTGGCCGCCTCGAGGTCTGAAGTATACAGGTTAGCAACGTCTGTTGGGTCTCCAGAGCGTCTCGACGAAATAGCTTGTCGAGTCACCACTTACGCATTCTTGAATTTGCAAATTCTGCCAAACTTCTCGCACTGCACACATCGAGGGTAATCCGGGTCGCATTTGATCTTCTTCTCTCGACACGTCACGCACGCAATGGCCAGTCGCTTTCTCGGCTTCCCTGCCTTTGTCACCCCCCAGTGAGCATTGACTGCCTCGCCATCGATGACTGTCTTGCAGTGACTGCCGTCATCGTAAAAGTAGCACAAGCCTTCCCCAGGGACCTCAGCAGCTCTGACAAATCGCGGAAGAAATTGCGTGCCGGTCCATATCTTGGGGCCGAGGCCGTCTTTTGACGGCACTCCTTCCGAGTTTGTTGTACTCGACGTCGTCGCTGCTGGCATCAGGCCGGATCCTGTCGGTGGGCGCTGGTCTCGGTAGGAAGACCCGGTGTCCTTGGGGCTAGAGTAGTGATACGAAGGCCTGTCATAAGGTCCTCGCAGGGGCGGTTGGCTTTCTCTAGATACCAACGAGTATTCGTGCTTTCCTGCCTCGTGATGCATCGACCAACCGCCCCCCAAGCCTACATCGGGTCTGGATTCCTGGCGGCCGTATTCCGTCTCGCGGTATCTCGGAGATCCAGATCCTGAGAAGGTACGAGTCAAGCCATGACCATGCAGTCCCTGCCTTTCGTGGTCATACCTCGCATCGTAGGTACTTCTTGGTTGAGAAACTGCTGGGGAATCCTGTGGTGGGAAGTATGAGCCGGCGTAGGCGCGGTCACCTTGGGCTGTAGGAACACGAGGCCTGTCCAGGGGAGAGGTAGCCGGGTAGCCACCAGGTCGATCAGATGACGGGGAATGCATCGGTCTGACTGAAGATGGAGGTCCGAATAGGCTGCTCAACGAGGGTAGCTGTTGACGAGGGGCGCTCTGGGTTGAATCTTTGCGTCCAGAACCGTCTTCTGAGCTCTTGGTCGCCATATCGGCCGTCGAGCTCTGCTCATAGTTAGACATGGGAGGAGATAATGGGCCGAGTCTGGCGTTCCAAAGCTTTTCGGCAGGAGGAGATGGTCTGGAGGAGTAAGAGGATGAAGATGGGCTAACCAGCCCGGGAGGAGAATCTGGGGCGGCCAAACGAGGGTGGGGTTCCAAAGCTAGAATACCCATTGAAAAAGCGAGTTGGTGCCGTTGAAGGTGATGCCGATGGGCATTTCCGGCCTGAAATACCTTGTTGTATTGTCGAGCCCGAGACTCAAGGTTCGAGTGTTGACCAACAGGTTGGATGGACGAAGTTTGAGAAGACGGCGTTTCTCGAGCCAAATAAACCAAGCTAAGAGCTCGATGGCACAGCTGATATCAAGGTTTGTACGCCACGGCCCGGGGTGAGTTGAGAGAAGAGAAGTCCTACACCCGGATACTCGATCAAAGAGGTATGAACACGAAGAAGAATTCGATATACTCGGTGGCTGTTTCGAGATGGCGTACCAGAGCGGTTGTTATCCCTCTTCGTATCTGCCGACTGCAATGACCAGACAGTTAGAAGAGTGGGATAGATGAAGAGAAGAAGAACTAGAGGTGTGTGGGAGTAGGATATAATGGAGACGGGTGGCTTTTGAGATTTCGGGCAGAGCAAGGTAGGGCAGGCGCGGAGAGCGCCTCAACGTGTGTAATGCATATCCTATCCACTTCAATATGCGTATACATGTTCATGGGAGGCAGTTGGCCAGTTGCCCCCCTTCGGCCACACTCAGGGTAACGAGCTGCGAGAGAGATACACCGAGGGGCCAAAAGGAGACACTAAGGAAGAGGACCAACAAACTGGATTGGCTTGGCTCGTTAGATTGGGGAAGGGAGCCGGAAGGGGCACCGATAGAGTGCTGCGAGTGTATTCGTACACGACGGGTAGGAAGTACCGTTCGTTCTAGGCGCACACACGTGCGGCGCATCTCCCAAAAGCCCTTGACTGCTTCTCCGCCGTCTCGTCGACTTGGCCAAGACGAAAGGCGAAGAGTGAGCTAATCCGACCTAGCGCGTCGTCGGCGCCGACGGCATGGCGTGTGCCAGTGGCCTTGTGGACGGTTGCGAGGGGGGAAGAGACGAGTTGCTGCGTATATTGCACGTATTTCGGAGGCACAATTGCATTCCCTCGAGGCATTAGCCTGACGGATAGGGCCTCTTGGGCCTGTATCCAGCGTCGCAGCACAATAAGGCACAGCGATGCTGAAATGGGGCAGCTGGGTCTGGTTATGCTCGATGAGGGAATCCTGGTTGCATGCTGGCAGGGGTCAAGGGCTTGGGTGACCGGGGTGAGGTGCAGCGGAGGGGGTGGCATGGGGAGTTTGGCGAAGAACAGAGAAGCCGCGAAGGGAGGGTATCCGTACTGCGTATGGAGGACTCCCGGTAGACGCCCTGGGAGGGCTAGTCAGGGATGGCTAGGAGCTGCGAGCAAGGGGTCTTGGAACTGGGGATCCTTGGAGATTTTGGGGACGGGAAGGATAAGACGGGGAGGCAGCGAGAGGCGAAAACGTGCGAGGCATGGTCCGGGTTCTGGAGAAGGGCACAAAATCTGGTGACGACGTTGCAAAGGGGAACGAGATGACGGCATCGATCCTTTGTGCTGAAGAGGTCGGATGAGAGATGAGATGGTTTCCGGGGTAAAAGGGTGATGCTGGTTCGACACGGCGTTTGTTGCTGCTGCCGCTGCCGTTCATCTCTGAGTCTACTACCTCGCGTGTCCGGGAACGATCGGGGACCTTGAGCCAAGACCAGGGCAGCGGAATAATGATAACGATGGGCCGGCGGCCGCGAGGAGACGCTTCGTGTCTTTTCTCGGTATTTTGGCTGTTGGAGCTCGAAGGATGCATAATGAGGGTCGAAAATCCCTTGCCATGATCCACAAAGAGCGAGCCCAGATGGCGAATTGGACGCAATGAGATAGGCTCGGATTGCCGGGAGAGAAAAGGAAATAACGAGAACGGTACGCCGGTTGTTGGTTCATTCCAATGGATTGTGGATCTCGGCGCGGGGTTGCGCGCTGCACTCCTCGTTGACAGGATATCCCGTCACGCCAGTCTTTACCGGTGACATGAAGAAGGTACACAACAGTCTGTAATGTGTGATGTGTGTGTGTGTGTCTGTGTGTGCATGGCTGTATATGGAAGTATCCCGACAGGTAGACTTGAGATGAAGACCTGGGGACCAGAGTTTGAGTTTCGATGAGATCCGGCTGGTCTTCCAACAGCGTTGTAGACAATAGAAAGCAGGGTTGTCCAGAGCAAACGAGACGAACCACCAATGTCAGATCGGAAGATAGAGAGAAAAGGTACCTAGGCGTTCGGTGTGGACGCCGGTGGCGCAAAAGTACCTACCTGCCTGTCTCGGAGGACCAAAGTAGCTCTTGCAACGTCCTTGTGGGCTTGGGTGGACAAGGTTGGCAGTCCCCTGCAGCGATAGCAGAGGCTAATAAGACGCGTCCGGCATGTCTTCATTAGGTCGATCCCATTCCCTTGGGTACACTGTGACGGTACGGAGGCTGCGAAGATCTGGACCGGACCTGTCGTGGCCTGCAGCCGGCAGCGCAGTAACGCGCAGCAATGTGCAGAGTGCAGATATTGCAGTGCAGCGCAGCGCAGTACAGCTCAGGGCAAGGCGAGGCAAGGCAAGCTGGGACCTGGACGGAACTCCCGTCAAGAGTTGGAGCTCCGCGCCGAGGCTTGCCGAAGTCCCTGGAGAATGGACCGCATCGGTCTTGGAGTTTGGCATGCGCGTCGAGGAGGAAAAAAGAGTCCATTCTTGACTCTCGTAATTGTAGCCATACAGCGGGCAGAGCTGTAGACAACGTGAATCGTTTCGCTCTGGTGAGCCATTTCAATTTCACGAGAGCGGCCGAGGCGCAGATTCTGGCGCAACGCTAGAAAAAGGGAGGAAGCTGGATGGCTGGCGGGCTGACACTGTGGCATCATAACCAGGATCAATGAAATCCAGGGCCAATGCCTGCCGGCAGAATGCTTGTCTTGGCGGCGGGTTTGGCAGCCTCTCAGAGTCTTGAGCTGATGATCGACTGTCAAGGCAAGACAAGACTAGACAGTCAAAGAAGGAGACTTGTGGTTCGGGCTCGGTGCTGCTCCACCAGTCAGCCGTCGGCTGCGGTAGTGTAGGCACTAACAAGCCAGAGAGGAGAGGTGGCTCTGGAATGCGAGCCTGTTGGTGGTCGTGGGTTGCGTGTTGTAACGAGAATTATTAGTGTCGGCGCCGGTCACTCGATTAGCATTGCGGGCCAAGCTCGTCTCGTGGCTGGAGACGGACATGCTGCTCCTCAATCGCTCGTCTTCCCAGGGTGTCGGTTCCCGTGCTCCCGTGTCCTCGTCGGCCGTAGTCGCCATGTACGTTTCTGGAGAACGTCAGACGGGCGTTTCGTTGGCATTGTTCTGCAGTTCTGCAGCGGACGATTCAACGTGGAAGAGAGTTACCCGATCCCGTGGCGGCAAGATGAAGCAGACGGCTCTGAGACCGAGGATCCTGGATGGGTGGTTCATTGTGTTGTTGGGACCGGGGCTTGGTGGACTCTGAGAGTGCGCGGTTGCGGTTGGCAGTCAGTGTGGTGCGGTACGGTTTCTGTGTTGGGCCTCGGGAGAGGAAAGTCCATCCACAGTGTTGCAACGGTACGGTTCGGTCAAGGCCGTGGTCTCTCCGGGGTTGCGTTGCATCGAAGAGCCGGGCGACGGAGGTCCTGCTGGATAATTTGGAAAGATTTGCAGGGAAAAATGCTGCTTAATAACGCTTGCGTGGTTGACCTGCACCAACAAGTCCCGGGTTCCTTGGCCAGAGGGGCTCCTCCATCTCCGCGCTGAGACAGGCGATTGTTTGCCGTTGATGAGGATCGGATCCGAGATGGGATAGCTGCGATGGGCCGTGGAGATGGAAATGGAGATACGACGGGCAGCGTCAGGTGAGAAAAAAAGAAAGCCGAGAGGCGTGAAAGAACGAGGTGAGGCTCGACGCGGTAGTGTGAGACAAGATCGAGGATCCATGTTGCAACGTGCCCGGTTGTTTTTGTTGTTGCTGCTGCCCTGCAGTTAACCGTACACCTAGGTATCTAGGAATGGTTCCTCAGTCAAACCAGGTACTTCGCGTCGTTGTCTGCGCGAGAGAGAAACGTTAGTCGGAGGTGAAGTCGGTAAGATACCTAGGTACGGTAGTAGGTAAGGTAAGATGGCCAAGCCACACGGCAATGAGGGTGAAGGTACAGGATACGGGTATGAAGAGGCAGGGACGCTCGCTCGTACTGCTTCACCTGCACCTTCCTAAGAGGTACGTGAGGAACGAATACCTGAAAACTTTAGCTGGATCCACCGCCTGCTGAGGTCCTCCAATAGAAGGACCAAGGGTGTCATTACTCCTGCCCCTGAGCATTGTCCATTTTTGGCGCACAATCACAGATGTCATCCAATGTTTTTTTTGGTTAGCACTTTACAGAGTAAGGGACTTCCCTCACTTGTCATTTTTTAAAGTGTCACGGCAATGAAGAGTTCAGGTCGGGTTGATGCTGAATTGCCAGGGGCCCGTAGGGTGACATTAAACCTTAAGCATGGTGCCCGTGCTTGCCTTCCTTGCCTTGCTTGTCTCGATGAAAATGCAATGCTTGTCATTGTCAAAATTCTTATGGCATGTGGCAACGGAATGCAACAGGAAGCGGGCGGCTTAGTTTCCGTCTTGGTTTACAACTCACACATATCTGTACCTATCTAAGCATCTATCTACCCACCTGGGTTGCAAAAATAATGGCCGCTTTTTGGTGGTAACTGCTGAGAACACCGGCCATCGAGTTTGCAACCCGAGTGCTACCTTCCCTTGGCTTCTGCAGA